CCGGAGTGGTGAAAACTAAGCATAAATGCATTCCCTACCGTTTTAATCACCAGAAAGCGTCCTAGCACATAACCTCAAGTCTGCTAAGTCAGCAACTTAACCCAAAATGAAAGTTAAAATCTAGTTCCAGATTCACGTTCTCGGCCTCTCTATAATAGCGATATCTTCTTGTCTTCATTGTTCTTCAAAGGGGGCAGTTTCTTGTCCTTAGAGCAACTAGTTTCGGACCCTTTTGAGCAGATAAGGAAGATTTAGATGCAAAATGTGCCAAGCAAGACCATCACCACAGCGTATGCAAGGAAACGGTTATAAATTGCGTTCTCTGCAGAGGACCACACGAATCTTTTAGTCAAAACTGCCCGAAACTCGATCCTACTAGCTAGAAGTAGGGCCCACTCTCTCGGCTTGACAGTTGAGACCACTAACTCTTCTCCCCTTCGACTAACCCCCCAAGCACCCTCGTGGCACTAACCGCAGGACTCGCTTTAGCTGCTGAAGATAGGACGCTAAACACTTGGAGAACATAGCCTTCAAGCATGCCTGCAATTCGTCAACTAACCACAAGCTTCTAACGATAAATCACATCTAGTTTTAGGAATAATGTGTTTTATAAGCGAGTCGCGCATGTAAGCAAGTTGCACACTGGTAAGGGCTGGATAGAAATTTGCGTCTAGCACTAACAGTTTATTCCCGGATTAACCCCGACTGTTAGTGCTAGACGCAAATTTCTATCCATCCCTTACCAGTGCGCGACTCGCTTATATGCGCGACTCGCTTATAGCACACGTTACTGCTTTAGGAATAACAACTTTAAGGGCCTGTACGAGATCAAGGCAGAATCATAGGGCTCCCACTAGACGCACAGGTCTGTGTGCTTATGTAAGTGTGAATTTGCTTATGTAAATCTAATAATGCATCTAACGTTAACGCAGGCCCCCTTTTCCACCCACTACAGCCAACGTATCGCCAACACTGCAGCCAGCTACGGCTGCCTTCCCGGACGACTGTCTCCCTCCCGAGGGCTTTTTCGAGTCTCGACAGACCTTATTAGAATCAATCGACGCGTACGCAAAGCCTCGAGCCTACGCGTTTACAACCCAGAGGTCAATTCGAGAGAAGACAGGACATTTAACTGTCTTCTATGCATGCGACCATAGCCGCCGACTACCTTCGTCGCCAGAGCGAGACCGCCAGAGAAAAACAACTACTCGTATGATAAATTGCCCCTTTTTGGTCCTTGCCAAAGAGTCCAGCGAAGGCTGGGCTCTAAGCATCGTCTAGATCGTCGCTTTGCAACCTATAACCACGAGCCGAGCCTACACCTATCTGTATACCCTATCCACTGACAGCTCTCTGGCGGTATATCACAACTCCCAGTACTCTCAAATGCTAGCCTCGCACCAAAGGAGATCCAGACAGTCGTGCGGCAAAGCGGCTCTTTAGCAACACGTCAAGATATTTACAACCGTATCGCTAAAGTCCGCCAGGACTCTCGTCAAGGCCAAAGTCCAATCTATGCACTCGCAAATCAGCTCGAGGAAAAAGGCTTCTAGAGCCGTGTACAATATAGGCCAGATAGACATATAACAGCAGTTCTCTTTACGCATCCCGACTCTCTTATCTACCTTCGAGCGTACTCTGAAGTCCTCCTTCTCAACTATATATATAAGACAAATAAATACGGCATGCCACTTCTTGATATGATTGGCGTTGATGCAACTAGACGCTCCTTTTGTATTGCCTTTGCGCTTTTAAGCGGCGAGACTAAAAAAGACTACTCGTGGGCCCTCGAGCGGTTAAAGACCCTCTACGAGCAGTGTAGTGGAGTCTTCCCATCAGCCATTTTGACAGACCGGTGCCAGGCAGTTATCAACGCAGCTTTAACTCTCTTTCCATCAACAACATCTCTCTGTACCTAGCATGCAAATAAGGTGGTCCTTGCACGGTGTCAACTAGCATTTCCAGAAGTTGAAGAGTGGAAGGAGTTCTACGCTTCTTGGTTCTCTATTCTTGACTCGCCAACCAAAGAGATCTATAAGGAGCGTCTAAAGGAATTCGAAAATAAGTACATCTCGACAAACCCTACATAGGTTGGCTATATTAAGGAGACGTGGCTTCTACCATATATGGAGAAGCTTGTCTCTATATGGGTCGACCTACAAGCTCATTTTGGAAATACAGCTACCTCTCGCGTCGAAGGGATCCGCGCACTTCTCAAGTCGTACCTCCGGAGGCCAACGTTTGACCTCTTCGAAGCGTGGAAAGCAATTCGGCTTGCGTTAATCAACCAACTCTTGGAATTACAGTCTAACCAATCTAACCAACAGATCTGTATACCTCTCGAGCTCGATAAAGCTGTATATAGGGCTATACAAGGCTAGGTCTCGTACGAAGCGCTACGAAAGGTCGAAGAACAGCGGCAACTATAGTGAAAGGACCCTCCTCCGTCGCCTTCTTATACGGGTAAGTCGGACCCCCCCGATTCCGAACACCCCACATTCCGAACACTTTGTAAGCCCACACCTCTTTTTCGACCCCCTCAGTTCAACTTACCACAACTCAGTCAATTCTAAGTTAAATCACTTCATTTTTTGGGCAATAGTATCGTCAGTTTACGATGGTTTACTCGGAACAAGATTTACAAGATGCGGTTGCTAAGTACCGTCGCGGTGGCTATTCAGCGCGAAGCATCAGCCGGGAATTCGGCATCCCAATGACTACCTTATACGACCGCCTCTATGGCTCGTAGACCTATTCTATTACCGCCGAACCGCAATAGACTCTTAGCCGGGTACAGAAAGATCATCTTACCCGATGGGTCTTGACCCAGGCTGCCCTCGGTGTTCTACCAACCCATACCCAGATCAGGGAGTTCGCCAGCCGAGTTCTACAGGCACAGGGAGCCACCCGTACAACCATTGGAAAAGGCTGGATAACCCGGTTTCTTCGTAGAAACCCGGTTATCCGAACCCAGAGAGGCCGTAAGATCGACTCAGCTCGTATCAATGGCGCTACTAACACGGTCATCCGTAGCTGGTTCCCACTACTAAAGATCCCAGCCATCAAGGACATCTTACCTGCCAACTGCTGGAACTTTGACGAATTCGGCCTTATAGAAGGTCAGGGTATCAACGGCTTGGTAGTTGGAAGTACCTATACACGCACAGTACAACGGAAAGTCCCTGGTTCGCGTGCCTGGACCTCCTTCTTAGAGTATATCTCTGCAATAGGGGTATCACTCCCACCAGCTATCATTTTCAAAGGCAAGAGCGTTCAATAGTAGTAGTTCCCTATCGCCAAGGACGAACTAAAGGACTGGCTATTCACTGCAACCGATAAAGGCTAGGTAAATAGAGTGATTGCGTTAGAATAGCTGCAGCGGGTCTTTATCCCTCGGACCTAGCCACAGGATCCCTCCCAGAGGCGGCTGTTAATACTGGACGGTCATAACAGCTATATAACCACTGAACTTATATAGGAGTGCTTTAACAACAATATCCAACTACTCTTTTTACTAGCCTATACCTCCTACGTTCTCCAGCCGTTGGATTTATCAGTGTTCTCTCCCCTTAAGCACATCTACTGTAAGCTCCTCAACCGTTTGACTAGCTGGTCAGAATATACTGCATTAGGCAAGCAGTTGATATTAAAGTGCCTTGTCCAGGCTCGTAGGGAGTCAATTACAGCTCATAACATCAAAGCTAGGTAGAAGGCATCTGGGTTATAGCCTCTTAGTATGGCCAAACCACTGATGAGCTCTCTCTTGCTGGAAAATTCGAACCGGGCGCCTAATGAAGATAATCTACTATGCCTACTATAGACCCCAGCTCCTACGCTACCTGGCCATCCCACTACTACAGCTAAGGAGGTCGAATTTTAGACTCCACGCAAGAAGGTAGACCTTCGGGATCACCTGACCAACCTGGCCATCCGGCGGCAAGATCTTTCTACGCGACGGCTTCTATTCAAGAAGGTTAAGAAGGCTTTTGATGAGAAGGACTTCCAATTGGCTCACTTGCAATAGGAAAACGAGGCTCTGAAAGTCCAGTTGGAGGCAGCCCAGCCGTCGAGAAGGAGAAGGGTAGTCCCGGATCCGAATAAGCAGTTCGCTTCCATTGAATAGGTATACCGGGCTCAAATTGAGGCTGGTCGTCTTAAAGAGTCTGGCATTGAAGAGAGTGGGTCAGAAAGCTCCGACTCAGATGCTTCTTGTATTGTGGTAGGTTGATGATGTTGTAATATAGTAGGTTGAAGAAGATGGGTGGTTCAGATGCCAAGGCTTACAAAGTGTTCGGAATGTGGGGTGTTCGGAATGGGGGGGTCCGACTTACTTTTACACGTGTCTATGAACTTCTATGTGTACATATACTCACTGGACGTCAAGAGCCTCTTCTTCTTGAAGACTTCCATTCGCACTGGCGCTTAATATGTGATGGGACTCCACTTCAGCTTCTAGGGCCCCGTCGTATAGATCCAAAAGCTACGACAAGTAGGCTCCCAGCGTTAAGTACGAAGCGGGAGCCTAGTGAATTCGAAGTTATCGAGGCAATACGGGCAACGCAGGCTAAGCGGCCAAGTCAGTATACGGCTTACGGTGAAACTGGCCATAGACGGACCTCTCGGGTGTGCCCGAAGCGTTATTCAGACGTTGTACGGATTGATTGAATGGCTGGCTAGCTAGCTGCAGTGTTGGCAATATGTTGGCTGTGGCGGTGGAAAAGGGGGCTGCGTTAGATGCATTTTTAGACTTACATAAGCAAATTCACACTTACGTAAGCGCACAGACCTGTGCGTCTAGTGGGAGCCGAATCACAGGGAGGGATTATGTAACTAACACTATGGCCCTTTAGGCTTAGCGCCTCCGGGCGGAATAAATATCCATCCATCCTTGGCTGCCGACTGCTTGCATGTGACCAACAGCTGCCTGCTAGTAGTCCCACTATATCCCCACCAAAACCCCATTGAGCTGCAGCTTCCCCAGACTTAGGAGCCCCGAACTTGGGGAACCTTTCGGGAACCTTTAACACTCCCGCTTCGCGCCTCGCAGCCAGCGCAGCGCACCACACATCGCGGCAACTTTGAATGTGCTGATATTAGAACCCTCTCAGCCAGAGATTCGCCATCCTGTGGGAGGCTCGCCATGAACCCCGTGGCGTCGCCTTCGTGCAGCACCTCGAACCTCTTATTCATCTCCAGTCTGTCTCGAGCCTGTCTCTGCCAGCGGCCCTTATGACCACGAAGGTCACGCGAGCCTGTGATGCTTGTCGAGTTCGAAAGGTGAGATGCAGCGGCACACAGCCCTGCGCGCAGTGCTCCCACCTCAATCTTGCTTGCGCCTTTCCGCCCGCACCGGCCAAACGCAAGCCCGGCGTACGAGGCCGTCTCGTCGCCCAGCTGCGCAACCAGGCTGTCGCCGATGCCACCGACAGGAGAGCCGCCTTCGTCGCGACGACCACACACCCCTCGCCCGCCGCTGTGAACCGCCCCTCAGCGTCGTCCGTCACCTCCATTGCCGGCATCCTTGACCCCGACCATGTCGTCACGCCTCGACTCGACCTGGCACCGGCCATTGGCGGCTCCGGCTACTCGCAGGACTTCTTCATGAGGCTGCTTCCCGAGTACGAGCAGCTTGTCTACCCCGTTAACCCCGTCCTGACACCCGACGAATTGCGAGCCGCCATCGCAAACATGCATGCGAGCTACGAGGATGCAGCGCTCGTCCACTCCTTTGGCGCCGTCACCATCAATCTCACGCAGACGTCGTGGACCCTGCACGGCGACATTGCGGCACAGATGACCTCGCTCATCCGGTACAGTGTGTTCGCGCACCATAAGGTTGACATGGGCAGGGACACAGCAGATGTGCACTACCTCCAGTGCGAGATGCCCATGACGGTCAAGCGCATCATGGTCGGCATCTGGAACGAAATCTCCCTCATGGCATTCAAACGCTTTGACCGCGGATTTGCAAGCTTGCGCGAGGCCATCACCATGATCCAGATGCTCGACGTACACCAGTACTCCGAGGACAACCCGTGCGGGCTGACGCGCCGCGAAATCTCGCGCCGGCAGCGCATGTACTGGGAGGCCTACATCCACGAGCGCTTCATGTGCATCATGTCGGGCTTCCCCTGCGTCATGATCCCGCTGCGAACCGGCCTACCCATCACTGACCCGGACGTCCCGCCCTGGGTGACCGTCGGCTTCAACCGCCTAATCCGGCTGTTCCAGGTCATGGATCCGCCGCTGCTCGCGCACTGGACCGCGCAGACCGTGCTCTACGCGCCCACCATCACGGCCGAGTGGATCGAACACAAGCAGGCACAGCTCGACGCCGACGAGGCCGAGACCGCCGAGGCCGTGCGCGAACTCGCGGCCAGTGGCGGCGGCGCCCTCACCGAGGAGCAGCACGTCGACCTCTTCGTCACGCGCCTCTGGCTGCGCACCCTCGTCTGGCAGCTCGCTCTTAAGCACGGGCTCCTCCGGTCCGCACCCCCTCGCGACGCCCACGAGGGTTTCTCTCTGCACTTCCCCGCGCAGCGCCTGTCGGCGCAGCTGCGCGGCCTCGTCAGTCGCCTGCGCAGCATGTCGAGCATTGTCACCCACGGCAGCGGCATCTTCCAGAAGCTGTTCGAGATCACCAGCACCGTCGCCGACGTGCTCGCCCTGCCGCGCGGGCCCGGCCAGTCGCAGGAGGAGGCCCGCGCCCGCATCGAGGACTTCCTCTTCGTCGTGCGCTTCATCTTTTGCTTTGAGCGCACCCAGAAGCACCAGCGCGACTACCTGCGCGAAAAGCTGGACGCCTTGCGGGATATGTACACGGTCGTCGACTTTGGGGACTTGGCCGGCAGTCCCGCGGCGGTGCGGTGAGCGGCGCGCCGCGTGGTCTCTGTTGATGCCGCAAAAGGTGACCGGCCCCTTGGTAAAATGGATGGTGCAAGTTCTAGAGAATAAATTTGGCGTTAGCGGAGTTGGTACGCACATATTGTAGTGAAGAGAGGGCGTTGCGAGGTCCCGCGGGGCCGCGGAGACCGCAAGGGACGTCACCAGTAATCCAATGTGCAAAACGTAAGTGTAATGATTCATCTTGTATTTATATAAGTAGCCAAGCGGCGTGATGCGACGATATTGCAAAGTAACAAGTCAGAGTTGACTAATGCAAATCGGCTGCCCGTTCATTCTCGAGGCCGCGTTAAAAGACTCAGGCTCAGCGCGATGTCTCTTCCTGCCTCGGTCCACCGCGCGGTCCGATCAGCATCTAGCAGCCATTTTCAGAGAGTAGGAAGGGGTCAAGGTGGTTTTGCGCGGTTGAGATTGAAATGACGCGCGGTGATGGCGACCTGAGAATCAGTACACAGGAAGAGGCTAATTTACGGGTCATGGCTCCTTGCAGGGCACCAACCACGCAATAAAGAGAACGAGAGGAGCGGACACCTGAGTGAGGGGCGAAGCCCTTCAGCTCGGTTGCCGGAATCGCAAAGCCTTGTCATACTCCAGAGGCACTTTGCGCATGGGCAACAACACCAACTCCTGACGCCACGATGTGTGCTGTGGCATTATTTCATTAATGCAGGATCGATTGATCGTCACTGGTTTGACCGCCCACTCGGAATGTCCCAGGGTCCCATACTTTAAATCAGTTGATTCGTTTATTTGCCTCCCACCCACCATACACGGCACATCGTTCGCCGTCCTGGCTGTCTCTGCTCACGGGCACAGCCTTCTGAGCCTACCTAGTTCGGTTGGCTGTTGACACTCTCGACCATGACATCCTCAACCACCTTTTCCTTCTCGGGGGTGCTCTCACTGCTACTACATCCATCAAACCGGTCCACCGCCGTGGACTTGAACTTGCGGGCGCTGACGCGGTTCTCAAAGAGCACGTCCAGCTCGCCATAGGTGCGGCCCTTGGGTTCCGGCAGTCGGAAGAAGGTCCAGACCGCGCAGAGGAAGCACGTGCCTGCCCAGAAGAAGCCCGACTTGGCTCCCCAGTTCCACGCCGTGGGGTTGAGCATGCGAGGCGTGATGATGTTGGTGACGATGCCGACCATGTTGTACATGTTGCGGGCCATGACGACCGACTTTGTGCGCAGGCGTGTCGAGGTGAGCTCCGCCACGAGCGAGTAGCAGACCGGGCCGACCGTGGCATCGTAGGTGAAGGTGTAAACGAGAAGCAGCGAACCGATGGCCCACTGCGCAGCGACATTCTCCCGGCCGGCAAAGGCGGAGCATCCGATAGTCAGCAGCAGGACGCACATGACGACTTGTCCCCATAGGTACAGCGTCCGGCGGCCGAACCACTGCATCAGGAACCAGGAGGTGATGGTGCCGACGGCGCCGAGCGCATATTGGCCGAGCGACATGCTGAAAGAGTTCTCGACGGCCATGCCAGCTTGCTGGTAAAAGTATGTCGAGTAGCCCATGAAAGTGGCGCCGCACAGGGTCTGGATCATCCACGTGATGCACACAATTTCCGTTCGGCGCAGATTGACGCCCTTGAACAGGTCTGTATAGGAGGTGCCGGCCAGCAGTTCCTTTTCCATCTCGTTGGTATGGATCATCATCGAAATCGTCTCGTCGGGGTGGAATTTCACGCCCGAGTTTCGCGTCGTCAGGCGGGCGAGCGATCGCTTAGCCTCGTCGAGGCGGCCGTGCCGGACGAGCCACCAAGGAGACTCGGGCGCAAGCCAGATGCCAATGATCAGAGGGACGGGCCACACCCATTGCAAGGCAAAGGGAATCTTGTATCCCCAGTGGTCGTCGCGATTCAGCATGGCTCGCAGCACACCGGAGGCGATGAACTGGCCAATGACCCAACACAGGTTGACATAAGTTGTCAAGTACGCTCGAAGGTGAGTCGGGCACACCTCGGACGCGTATGTGGTCGTCGAGGTCTGGAAGACGCCCCAGGGGAAACCGATGAGGATCTCGCCGATGAGTAGCTGCACCAGCGTCTCGGAGAAGAAGATGATGAAGATGAAAGCGATGCAGCCGATCAAGGCGCCGATCAAGGTCTTGCGGTATCCGAACCGGTCGGCGAGGATGCCGTTGGCGAAGAGGCCGATGATCTGACCGGCGAGCACGCCGTTGGTCAAGCCGGTCTGCCACTCGGCTGTGAGCTGGTACGTGCCGTCAGGTTGGGCGACGCCGAACTTGCGCTGGAAAGGGGGGTAGGCGAAGAGGCTGGAGAGGAAGGCATTGTCGAAACCTTCCATGACGATGCACGTCGACAGGAAGATGGACCACATGCAGGCCTTCCTGTACAGCTTGAGAGACTCGAGGAGCCCCATGCTGTGTTCGGCATCGGTGGCTGCGGCTGCCTCGTTCACGGTCGACTCGTCCATGTTGGCTTTGGCGACGGCCACTCGCCGAGCGGCGTGCTCATCCCGTGCTGAGGGAGACATGATGTCACCGTCGCGGTGGTCTTAACCTGCCCAATAAGGTAGATTCGGAAGCACAAGAAGGCGGCGGTGATGGCCGAAGCAGGGGCCAACCGAGGAAATCAAAAGGCGGACTATTGTTGTTCGCTGCCACGACCCGAGAGCCTGATCGTCTGACACCCAAGAATCCAGGCGGCCGCCAGCCATCTTTATACAAATGGCGGGACGAGGTCTCGAGTCAGAGTCTTTCAGCAGCCCGGAGTCGCCCTTGGGAGATTCCACTGCCCTTGCGGTTAGGACCGGAACCAGGGACCAGGGTCCGTCGCTAACGTCGACGAGTTAGCGGGCAGTCACCAAGTCCCCCCAATGGCAGGTGTTGGAGCAATGGGTCCAATCACGAGGCCCCTGGGGCACCGATTTGGCAGGTTTGTTGCGCGGCGATGCCATGTGCGGTTCCTGTGCACGCTCTCCATCTCGGAGCTGAGCACTTACCTCGTCGGCCCGGCGTCACGTGCTGACATTGAGCCATCCATGAGATGATGGGTGCTCGCAAACCCTGGCACGGCGCCAACGCTGCCGAAATATCGGCCCACAGGTGCCAGAACGCAGCCTCCCTCCCTGCACTGCGCACGCTTCCCCGGCATTTCGACCGAATTAGGGAACACCGAGGTGGCCCCGGATCCTACTCCCCATGGGGTGATGCTGATCTGGGGAGAGGTGGAGATGGCATATGCTTTCGTGTTTTCCAGGCAGGCCCTCGCAATGTGCGCTGTCGGACCGACAAGCTGTTTGTTGCGAGATTGCGGATCCATACATGCGCTGGAGTTCGAGAAACAAATTTGGAACCAGTCTGTGCGAGTTAATGGCTGAAAGTGGAATCGGGATCTGTCGTCGGTCCGACATCTGACCAATGTAAGCCGCAGGTCGTCGGACCGACTGTGGACGAATCACAGCCGCAGTTCGTCCTAGCGACACACTCAAGGCCACTAAAAAAGAGCCGCAGACCCCTGTAAGACATAACTGAATCGCCCTCCCGGGAATGCTGCAGTAAGGGCCCGTCTCACCAGTACACTACCCCGGATTCTCCCCCTCACGCCAGGGCCGCATGGGGAATCTCCGCTCTGTTGACTGCGCGATCTGCTTACGATCCTGCATCCTGCTGGGCACGACTTGTCGGACCGACATAGTCCGCATCGTCAATTGGCTCGGCTTGTCTAGGGCTATGCTGCGAGACGCCGAGGCCACCAAGGATAAAAACACACGATAAACCCGCCGCAGCTGCGTCGTGACAATCCACATATGAGGAGATACCGGGAGTTGCTGGCTCCTATGCCTCATTCTCCACAAATGTTCGCGAGTGACAAGGTCACAAGGGGATTTAAGACGGGTTGCCTGCGGTGCTTACCGTGCTTCTCACATTCTTTTGGCCCCCATACTCGTCTTCTCGTTTACTCCACTGTCGCCGCTCAGACTTCAACCGGCTGGTGAACCTTCTGCAGGCGGAATCGTCCTGTCGCCATCATGACTGTGACCGACCACGAAAGGCAGTGGTGGAAGCAAGCCGTCGTCTACCAAATCTACCCGGCGTCGTTTTGCGACTCCAACGGCGATGGCATCGGTGATATCCCGGGCATTACGTCCAAGCTCGACTACATAGCCAGCTTGGGCGTCGATGTCATTTGGATATGCCCCATGTACGACAGCCCGCAGGTGGACATGGGATACGACATCTCCAACTACGAGGACGTCTACCGCCCCTACGGCACCGTCCAGGACATGGAGGCCTTGATCCAGGAGACGCACGCCCGCGGAATGCGCATCATGCTCGACCTTGTCATCAACCACACGTCGGACCAGCACGCCTGGTTCAAGGAGTCGCGCGCCAGCAAGGACAGCCCCAAGCGCGACTGGTACATCTGGCGGCCCGCCAAGTACTCGCCCGACGGCAAGCGGCTGCCGCCCAACAACTGGCGTTCAAACTTCGGCGGCGGCAGCGCCTGGGAGTGGGACGAACAGACGCAAGAATACTACTTGCATCTCTTCGCCACGGAGCAGCCAGATCTCAACTGGGAGAACCCAGAGACCCGCAGGGCCATCTACGCCTCGGCCATGGAGTTCTGGCTCGACCGCGGCGTCGACGGCTTCCGCATCGACACCGTTAACATGTACAGCAAGCCGCCGACGCTGCCAGATGCACCCGTCGTTGATCCCAAGACACCCTACCAACCTGCAGGTATGGTGTACTGCAACGGGCCTCGCATGCACGAGTTCCTGGGCGAGATGAACGCCATCCTCACAGAGTACGGGGCCATTACCGTTGGCGAGCTACCGTGGACGCCCGACACACAGCGCGTGCTCCAGTACGTGAGCGCCAAGGCCAAGCAGCTGAACATGGTCTTCCAGTTTGACGTTGTCGACGTGGGCATCGGCAAGACGCACAAATTCGCAACGACGCCCAAGAACTTTGCGCTTCCCGACTTCAAGGCCGCCGTCGGCCTGACGCAGGCCCTGATGCGCGGCAGCGATGGCTGGTCCACTGTCTTCCTCGAGAACCACGACCAGGCCAGGTCGGTCAGCCGGTTCGCCGACGACCGCCCCGAGCACCGCGTCCGTGCCGCGAAGCTGCTGGCGCTGATGGAGGCGTGCTTGAGCGGCACGCAGTACATCTACCAGGGCCAGGAGATTGGCCTGGTCAACGCCCCCAAGGAGTCCTACCCTGTGGAAAACTACCTCGACATTGACAGTTTGTCGTTCTACAAGATGGTCAAGGAGCGCTACGGCGTCGACAACAAGGCCGAGCTCGACAAGGCGTTTGACGCCCTGCAGTACATGGCCAGAGACCACGCCAGGATACCCATGCCGTGGAATGGCAAGGCCAAGTACGGCGGCTTCTCTGAGGCCGCGGAAGAAGCCGGCAAGGAGGTCAAAGAGCCGTGGATGAAGCCGCATCCGCTGGCGGCCCAGATCGACGTGGCCTCCCAGCTCGACGACCCGGACAGCGTGCTCGCTTTCTGGCGAAAGATGCTGCGCTTCCGCCAGCAGCACGCGGATCTGCTCGTCTACGGTGACTTTAGAGACCTGCGGCCGCAGGACAAGGATCTGTTCATTTTCATCAAAGAGCCGCGGCACCATGGTGTTGATAGGATGCTCGTGGTGCTCAATTTCACCTCGGAGGAGAGGACATGGGAGACACCCAGCCCGGAGGAGCTCGGCGTGCTGAAGGCGCCGGAGCTAGTGTTAATCATGTCTACGCACCCGGGCAAGTCCCGGGAGGGGCAACTAGCAGCATTTGAAGGACAGGTGTATTTGGTGATATGAGGAGGGACCGCGATATACATGTAGTATAAGGCTTTTATTCGCAGTTAGTGCTGCGCCCTTTCATTTTTGATCTCCCTGGTGTTGAATTATGATGATATTCCTTCTCCTCTTGGTTTGAGGCATGGCCGTTAGAGTCGCAGCACCTGTCCATGAAGATGTTGGATTGGCTGGCTGTCTGACAGAGTGTTGTGTGTGTGCGTGTCTGAGGAATAGGGGAATCTGGGCATGCACCCTGTATTTCTAGCAGGATTTTCCGTCAAGATATTCCGACCAGCCTACCCCATTGGGTATAGCGGCCCAGCCCCTGAGTATGGTACACCGACAACGCTCCTCTCCCCTCGCCTATCCCCGTCAGCCGGAATAATATCTGTACGACGAACTGGTCCTCCGGCGAGGTCTTCGCCTCGGACATCCCCCTCAACACACCCCCTGTCATGATCCAGGACTACTTTCACACGCGCAACGAGACCAGTGTCGGCAGGTTCCAGCCGGTTGTTGCCACGGCCAACGGCAGCGTGCAGCACTGGGAGCGGGTGAACGACGATATTGGTATTGGCGTGGGCGCGCCGGAGGAGGGTGTGCAAGAAGGGAAATGGCGGCTAGTGGAGACAGTGGGAAGCGGGGTGAGGCATGTTTGGGCGCTCGTGCAAGGGAGTTTTGACCAGAGGATGCACATGGTTACGGAAGGGGTGGATGGGGGGTTTGTGTATTGGGAGTGGGAGGGTAGGTGGAAGGTTTGTGGAGCGGTTGCCGGAGCTGGCTGATCCGTCTTGGGCGAGCGGTGAGCTGGTGAGTGGTGGTTGATTAAGCTCTGTAGGAGAGGGGGCAGTCCACGCTGTGCCGTTTGATAGAGCCTCCGAAGATAGAGAGTCCGGGTCGCCATAAGCCTGTTTAGAAGGATACAACGGACACCATAGCATCTAGACCAGAGTTCCTGCCAGTAATAAATAGAACTGCGACGCCCTAAGGCGGACCTCGGCTGGGGTACATGTCGCCGTCGTGGTACTGTACTGGCATTGGACGGGGGCCGGAGTCGCGCCGACCAAGCCTGACCTTGGTCCGTGGATCGCGAGGCCGGGTTTACCGACGCCGGGGACCTTCATTCGACCACTACCGAAATGGCGAAATGGATCAAATCATTCGACGGCGCTGGGACTGCGCCGGTCCCGCGGGTGGTGCGGGGTTCCTGGAGTTCCTTGGGGAGCGGGTGGAAGGAGGCGTTGGTGGTGGTGGCGGTGGGAGTGGTGGTGGGAATGGTATTCGGGATATGGAGTGGGAGGTCATTGAGTCTGCTAGGAGGGCGCGTGAGTTTCCGGAAGAGGAGATGGGAGATGGGAGAGGGGGGGGGGGGGGAGGGGGTTGAGTAGGTAAGGTCGGGGGCTCGGTGAGAAGGAGTGGAGGGGGTTTGGAGTTGAGTCCTAGTTTCTCTTGGATGTAATACTAGTGTATCTATTGGGCAGGTTTTGTGGCCTCACAAATCGCTATTGCTTCTGATCGACATAATGGTCTGTCACCGAGAATGCGCAGCGGGTACAGGGACAGTTCACCAACTTGAATGTGATTCGGCCATCTTGAGACGCAACGCATGCCTATACGGCTCTCCTCTTATCCTCCAAGATCTCTAGCATGTACAGGAAATACGGGAGAAACTCCTTGGTCTCGACCTCAAACCCCTGGTGGTGCCCCGGGACAAGCAGCTTGGGGCACGCCAGGATCTTGGCCTGCTCCTCGACCGCCCTCGCAAAGAAGGCATCCCTCGACCGGACGGCTCTCATGACCCCAATGCTGGTCTTGTTCTGCTTCAGACGCCAGAAGTTGGGCGTGTAGCCCAGCAGGACGGGGAACTCGTTATCCCAGAAATTGCGCGGGTTCTCGGTCTCGGGCGGAACCGTCTTCGGGATTCCCTCGTCGTCGTACCCAAGCAGCTTGGCACCGAACTCGCTAGCGGCCTGGTCGAGGCCCTGGGTCTCGTAGACCTCCATGAGGTGGAGGAACCACTCGAAGACCTTGGAGGCTTCGGGGAGAATATTGACGGTGGGTGCCTCGTGGGCGATGAGGTGGTCGACCATCTCGGGGAAGTCGTGAGCGAGAACGTAGGAGAAGATGGCTCCGCTGCTGCTTCCGAAGACGATGGACTTTACGAAGCCCACGGCCTTGATGACGGCGCGGATGTCCCGGGCTTGCTGCGGAATGCTGAGCCTCTTGTTGACCTCGACCTTGCTTGCCGACATCTGGCGACGGTCAAAGGTGGCGCAGGTATACCTGTCGGACAGGGCGGCAATCATGTTGTTGAACTGCCGCCCATGACCGTTGCCGCCCGGGACGAAGGTGATGAGCGGCCCCTTGCCCTGGTACCAATAATGCAGGTCGCAACCTTCGTTATGCACAATGGCTCGAGTAGGGTTGAACTCCATGGTGAATTAAATGGTCCTTGGTTGTAGTGATAAGTGGTGAGAGGGTAAATGATAGTAGTGAGGGGTGAGGAAGGTTACATTTCGCAAGATCAGAATGATCTACTAAAGTACAAGTTAGCGCTGTTTCCCAGAGTCCTTCGACCGGAGCATGACCACGAGACGGTCAAATTGGGACAAGGTGGGTGGATCTGCTGCCGGCTGTTCAGCCTGTTCTCCCGTAATTCCAGTTCCGAGCGCTCCGGTGTGACTCGCACGCCGCAATCCACGAACGGCGCATCGCAACTACTACCAATGTGGTATGGTGTAGACTGTATCAAGCACTTCGTCTATCATATACTAGAAGCGCCCAAGACAAAGGGCAACTACCGGTTGTTGATCGTCGGCGGCCACGAAAGCCACAACTCGACCGAATTCGAGCGCCACTGCAAGTAGAATGACATGTGGACTTTCGCGACGCCTTCTTCACCTCTATAACAAAGAAGAACATACAATGTGGCTTTCGGAGATGCTGGTCTCGTGGCACGAGATACCAACACCTCCGAATTCACAGTCTACTAGTACTAGCATTCTGCAACCGCAGAACCGGCGAGAAGCCAGCTTGCAGTCAACGCTTATCAAGACTTACGTTGTCGACCATCAAAGCAGCTCCCCAACGTTAATGTTGAATGCTCTGCTCTGCATCAGCGTACCAAAGGTACAATGGCTGTGATGCACCAGGTGGCTCTCCTTCGGTCAGAGGCCTCGAAGCTCCATAAGGCCAATGTCGCATCAAACAAGCGACAGAGAACCAAGAAAACAGGTATAGAGCTGGGCGAGGATTACTTGCGGTACAGGTCTGACATGAGGCACTAGGCCACGAGCCTATGAGTAAGGTATGGTAGGGAGGGAGTGCAAGAAATGGAGCCGGATGGTGGTGGTGCAAGCGAGGGGGCTTGAATCGAAGGTCCGGTGGTGTGGTGTTTGCGGCAAGCCTGGATATAATGCACGTAGACACTTACCAGGCGGCTGCAGAAGCATTTGATTCAGCTGTCTTTGACGTAATATCCATAGCGAAAGAGAGAGTTGCGATCAGGGACACCGACGAACGGACAGCTGCCTAGCCCATCACTACCAATGACCGGGCTTGTGAATATGAGGACCAAACCCACCGAAAGCCGAGCCCAATCTTATAATTATTTACTCGATTCCGAGCCTCTACCTACAGTAGTGATGAATCCACATCACTTAGTCTTCAGTCTTGAGATAGGAGAGTTCGCGTATACTGCTACCAACGTAGGCATATAGACTTATCAATCATATGACAATGTGAATCAGCAGGTATGCGAGTCATGACATCTTCCGCCAGAATGCCAGATAGTGTACCTCATATCACGTAGTAGACAGCAGAGTGTTAGGATGTAGGAGACAACGACAGAGTAATGTGTGCTACACTCGAGCACTAAGGCGGTCTCTAGGCTGAGATATCCGTTACGGGGGCACGGGACTGGGGCCAGAGCGACCTAAGGCCCATACGTTAGATCGGGAAGTCTGCGTCTTGCCGACGCCGGGAACCTTCATCCGCCCGCTACCGATAGCGCTAATGGATCGGATTCTTTGGGTGGGTCACAGTCTCCTCCGCAAACTCCAACAACCATGACCTACTAATAACAGGGACAGTCCAGTTCCGTGTCTCCCAGACTTCAACAAAGCCAGATACAACACCAACAGACACCACCAAACCCATCACCAACCAAACAAGGCAAACAATGCTCTACCAACCAGGCAAAACCGCCCACAACCTGCCCTTCGACCCGTTCAAAGCTTGCGTCGTGCCGCGCCCCATCGGATGGATCTCCACCACGTCCCCGATCCCACCATCCACGCGCGGCAACCCCAATCCATCTCTAGTCCACAATCTGGCCCCCTACAGCCAGTTCGCCCCGGCTGACCTTCGACCCGCCCTACGTGATGTTCTCGGTCAACCAGACCCCGCACCACCATGACTCAGGACTGTCCGGGGAAGGAGAGGCTACGCGAAAGGACACAGTCCGCAACATCGAAGCAACAGGCAAATTCGCGTGGAACTTGGCCATGTACGATCTACGGGAGGCGGTCAATATTACGGCACAGCAAGTGCCGCCGGGGGTGGATGAATTCCAGTCGGTTGGGTTGGAGAAGGAGTTTACCTCCTGCCTGCCCGGCGATCTTCCCGGGAGTGAAGATGGGAAGAATGGGAATCCGGTGCCAATGGTGAAAGCCAGCCCTGTCAAATTCGAGTGTGTGTATCACTCGACGCTGCGACTGCCCGGCAATGGGCCTGTGGGGACCGTGGATGTGGTTATCGGAAGGGTGGCGGGGTTTCATATTGCCGATTGGGCGCTGAATGAAAGGGGCAGGCTGGATGTGAGGCGCACAAGGCCGATTGCGAGGTGTGGGTATTACGAGTATGCTGTCGTGGGTGGGGAGGGGACCATCTTTGAGATGGTGATTCCGGGGTTGGATGAATTGACGTTGGCGGGGTTGGAGGGGTATAAGGAGAAGGTGGACAAATGGATGGGTGCGAAGGAGAAGGCGAAGTTGTAGGAGCGGAGGGGATGAGGGCAATGTACGGATCTCCCGCAACTTCTATTCTGGCATCATGGACTGACCATCAACCGGCTTCTTAAGATCATGCTGTATTTCACTCTGGTGACCATCACGTTTGTAAGCACACCCCGCATCCGAACCCGGGATACTATGAAGACTTGGGGACGGATGTGCTTATTCGGGTCAATCTAGCTTCCCATGTCGTTCATGGCTAGTCTTTTTGCCCTTCAAGTCGACGTCTTTCCGAAAGATCCCGTAACAGGCGAAAACGCATGGCCTGTTCAGCAGCTTATGGGCCTTTTGTGTGAGTTTAGTGCGCCTTCTCAAGAGGAAGCGTATCACGCCCCTAGCTAATCAGTGCGTGGCATATACAGTCGGAATATCATTCGCCCTGATTGCACCTCTGCTGTTCATTGCCTTCAGCTTCGATAAGACCTTTGCGCATTCCGAGACCCAGGGCCGTTTATTTGCCTGGTTGGATCGTTTCTTGCCGAGCGGCCTGGAGACTGACATATTGCCCACCGAGTTCCTGGACCTGGTTCCTGACTTTTACGAGCAGCGGGTGAAAACCACCTATGCACCTCTTTTCGGGCGATGGTGGTTTCATACCAAAATCCCGAAAGTGCGGAACTTGTGGAAATATCACTTCTACCAAGTGGATCGGGATTTCGAAACGGACTACCCCCTACACCATGCGCTTGTCACAGTTCCTCGCTTGATGCGCAGAGTTGTTGTAGCAAGGCTTAAAGCTCTCTGGCCCCGCCAAAAGCAGCATTGATAATGTATGGCTGGCTAGGACGATAGCACATAAGCACCTTAGTTAGGGAATAGAGCTGGGTTTCGCATCTAGGAAGCTGATTTTTAAGATGTGTAATTTCTATAACGTGGTTGATAAGCGAATGTCACACGAATTCCCCCTGACATGTCTTCTATCTTTCTTCCCATCTTCCTTTACAATACAACATGGGTTATAAAAGCGACGAGGCCCAGGTATAACTAGCCCTTCTGGCAATGCAAAATAATACGAAGTTAAGCGCTCGAGCGGCTGGTAGGATCTACAATATAGATTATAAGAAGCTAAGCTGCCGGCGACGCAGTATATAATTATAATACGATATTCTAGCCAATTCGCAGAAGTTGACTAATTTAGAAGAATCGGTCATTGTTTAATATATCCTCGACTTAGATTCTAAAGGATTTCCTCCCTGCTTATCTAGTATAGAAGATATAGCTAATCAACTACTTGCCAAATGCGATACGGGATATATTAGAACATATTAGGTATATAACTTTATTAAATGGCACCTAGAGCTTACTATATGTTTCAATCGGAAATACGACTATTAGAGGGCCCAACATAAAGATCTAGAAATCATTTGCGGCTGATTTATACTTATACGGAATATAATCGCAAAGTATAGTATCTAAAATATAGATATCTATAACTTTGACGAGACTAGGTTTCTAATAGGCGTTATTTTAACCGTAATGGTTATTATAAGCTTTAAATAGTATAGCAGGGCAAATTTGAAGTAGCCTAGCAATCGAGCGTAGGCAACGGCAATCCACGGCGTTAATATAGCTGGCTAGGCGATCCTACCATTTATTATTGTCAAGGGCAACTATTATCTCTCTTTCTAGTACAAGAACAGCCTATTGCTGAAAGACTAGGTTATCGCGATATCTGAAAATGGTTGGACAATTAACAAGAGAGGCCTAGAATAGATTCAGTACTTTAACAAGTATACTAAAGCTCGAACAGTTAGTGTTTATCGCCTTCTTATCCTTGATAGCTATAACAGCTACTATTCGACTGACTTCAACCTATACTATAAGGAGAATAATATTATTATACTCTATATACCTCTCTACTCGTCTTATATCCTTTAGCCGCTTAACGGCACCACCACCACCGTGACCCCGTCCGGCGAACAAAACGCCGGCAACATGAACGACATGCTCTTGCCCTCCCCCGTGCCCCCCACCTGCACGATCGGACTCTCCCCGCGGACGATGGCCCGGATCACCTGCTCCTGCATCCCCCTGAACTGCGCCTCCGGCCCCATCATGACCCTCAACTGCCCCTGGATGTCGACCCGCTGCAGCCGCGCGAACCGCCTGAACCGGGTTTCCTCGCGGACGCTGTCGAACATGTCCGCCTTCCGCTTGCCCGTGACGGCGGGCCCGCCCTCCCGGTCTTCCGCCCCCAACCCGAAAAACCGGTGCCACGCCCGGCTCACCGCGCGGAACCGGTCGCGCCGCGCCGCGGTCCCGAACGTGCCCTGCTGCAACTCCCGTTCGTATACCAACCCGGCCACGTGCGTGCTGTGTGCAGCCTGCAGATCCCATATGTTGTCCGCCGTCCCGTCCTCGTCGTCGTCCACTTCGCCCTCCGCCGCCACGTCTTCCCCAAACGCCTTGTTCAAATACCGGTTCGAAATGGCGATCGCTATGTGTCGCCACGCGCTCGTCCCCACCCGCGTCCCCAAAAATCGGCCGCTGTGTTGCTGCAACGCCCGCCGCATCCGGTCCGACGTCCACTTCCTCCCGCGGACTGGCGCCGCCCCGGGCCCCTCCTCGCCGGCCTCTGCGACCGCGCCGACCCGGTCGCCGGGTCCCTCGCTCCCGGCCGCCTCGCCACCTTTCCATCCGACGACTCTGTCCGCCCACAAAAACGCGCTCGGCGCCTCTGCTCCGTCCAGCATCGCCTGCACCTGCTGCCAGAACGGCAACGCCAACCACAGATACCACACCAACAACTCGCCCACCTCGCGCGGCACGTACCGATGTATCACCTTTACCCGGCCCGTGGTGCGGTACGTCTTATGGTACGATATCACGAAACACACCATCCCCCGGTCGACGAATATGTTCCGTACCCCTCCGTTCTCCGTGTTCGCGTGCCGGATCCCTAAGATCTCCCACGACCGCGCCGGCATCCCCCGGTCATGTGCATCAGCACCAGCGTCCACTCTCGGAACCCCTCCACCGCGGCCCCGTACCTGCGCACCGCCTCGGCCCGGTACGGCACCGCGCCGCTTGCCCCCCGGGCGATCCACTCCGCCCGCTTGTCGGCTCGCTCAGCGATCTGCTGCCGCACCCAACCGTCCCCGCTCACCAACCACGCGTTGCGGCCGTCCGCCAAAAACGAATAGTCGACCGTCTCGTCGCCGTGGTCGTCCTCCAGCCGCGCCCACTCGATGGCCGGCACGGCCCCGAAGTCGTCGCGCCCGACCATCAACAACTCGGCCAGCGCCGTCCTCGCCTCCCGCACCAGCTCGTGCATCATGTCGGCCAACTCGTTCATCCCGACCCGCATCCGCTGGTACGTGACCCGGTCTCCCTCCCAATCAACCACCCCGGCACTGGGCGTCGTGAACTGGATCCGCATCCAGTACGTGCGCTTGTCGAATATCCAATCCATCACCCCCGGCTTCGACTTCTCCGAAACGACCGTCATGAATCGCTCTACCTTGGCCCGCACGATGGTGAACAATCCCGTCGCCGCCTCCTCCGCCTCTTCCCGGCTCATGCCGCCCTAGGCCCGCAGCGCGGCCGCTTCGTCTTCGCGCTCCACGACGGACTGGTACACCACCAACATGCGCGCGATCTTGATGACTGCCGAATACTTTGGCGTGAAATCCCCCGGCCCGGCCCATCCGTCATCCTCGCGGATCCCCAACACCGCCAACCGGCTGATCAACGCGCTCTCGTACGGCGTGTCCTTGTACGGGTGGTCGAAAAACGCGACCGTCGCGTCCAAACACAGCCGGTCTATCCGATCCTCCCGTGCCTGCCGCTCCGCCTCGCTCGGCTCGGTGTGCGCCTCGGCCTGCACTCGCTCCTCGACCATTTCCACGAACGCGTCGAACAAATCGCCCTGCTTCCGCGTGACACTCGTACGGTGGCCGGTCGCCGTCGTCCCAGTCCTGCGCGCGGTGTATGAAACAAAACACCTTCCGGAACACCTCCATGTACGTTGCCCACGTATCGTCCTCCATGCGGCCGTCGAACGGCCTCGTCGGCTTGACGTGGACGTCCTTCTTGTTGATCACGAACAACACGGCGTGCCCTCTCCGCTTCAACACCGCCGCCTGCGCCCGCCGCGCCACCCGCTCCATGCTCTCCCACATGTGCCGCAACACCGCTTCGTCCTCTCCGATCGGCGCGACGGAACCGCGCAGCCGGTCGCGGTCCAACCCTGCCAAATGCGCGGCCCAGCCCACCGTGTCCAACCACGCGTTCGGCTCCGTCTTCTCGTCCCCGGGCTCGACGCGCCGCCTGTTCTCCGTGGATCCGTGCCAGCCGCTGGTCCAGCGTCTCGTCTCCTCCTCTGCCGGTGGCCGCTTCCTCGGCGCTGCCCCGGCGAACCTCGAACCACCCGCTGGCGGCGCGCGAACGGAACAATCGCTGGCACCGCACGCCCGTGGTCCACGGCACCGGCCTCTCCTCCTTCGCCCTCTTGGCCACGTCGCCGCCCTTCGCCCAGCTGCTCACCCACCCGTGTTCCTTCCGGCAGTGCCGTCGCATTCCCGCTACCGTTCGCACGACGAATCCGCACCTGTCGCATCGCACGCCGTCCGCTTCTGGCGGCGCAATAAACGGGATCGGCGCGACCGTCGGCGGCGGAAACCGGAACGAGCGTAACTCCTCCTGGTCGTGTGCTATGTCCGGAATGCCAGCGATAAACTTTGCCATCTTCCTACGCTCGCTCGACTTTAGGTGACCATGCTTTGTCCGCAAATGCGTTGCGACCTCGCCGGCTACGCACGGAAACTGGCACTCCTTGCAAACAACGAACGGGTACTAGGGTAAGCAGGGACGACGCTGGATGGTCACCCATCTTACATGCAGACACGGACAGGTGGAAAAAATAAAAGAAGAAGAAAGAGATAAGCTGCCGCGGCGGATGATATCTGACCTCTTGACCGGGTGAACTGCGTCCTAGGGAGTGAGTACCAACTTTCTTCCAGTGCTGGGACGACGAGGCAGTCGGGGCGGGAACGCGTCTCGACGAACGCTGAGGGCGTCTAAGATATGCCCACCCAACGACTGTCGGGACCAATCGCCTGGCGCGGAGAACGTCGAGAGAGCATGGGCCACATTGGAAGTACGTCGAGGACGAATCGGGCCGTAGCGCGTCGTAGCGCGTCGAGATTTGACCGGGGGCCAGGAGGGTTGGACGGGGGTAAATCCGGGATGGAGACAGCGAAGGATTCCGTGTGGCCATCCTAGTGGAGTGGAGGCGTGAAGCACGTTGAACGTCTCATGTGTGGCCTGCCGCTTTGACTCGTCACCTTCGCCACCTTGCTTGTCTCGGCGGGCTAATGCATCGGACAACCGATCGGGAACTTGCCCGGGCCGACCACTCGCGCCCCGGCCGCTCTTTCTCTGTTAGCTTCCTGGTTACCGCCACAGCGGTTTGCAATTGACCAGTCGGCGTGTGGCTCTTCTGCTGGTGGGCATTTGGCTCGCAGCCATCTCGCGCTTTTGTCTTTTGGGCTTAGACTGTGGCTTAACTTGGCACTGAATCCAGCCGGGGGGCAAACGATGGTGTCCGAGCGTTGACGTCAAGCGCTGCGGCGCCGGACTTCTCTCCGAATCAGGGTAGTCGTATTTACCTGGACAGCGTCGCGTCCCATTATCGATGACGACGACTAGCGACTGAGCTTTAGGCACTGCCTACTGGCAATGGAACCAACAGGATGGTGTCTCCTGAGCAGGTCATGGTACGTACTCTGAGTACCGCCAGCTTTTCCCGCTGTGTTTGCTAACAAATGCCTGGAACTGCTAAGGCGGCCGAGTGGTGTACAGTTGTGCTCGCCTACCTGCTGGTGGGCATGAGGCTCGCTGTGCGAGTGATGCTAAAGCAGAGACATCTGTTCATCTCCGACCTTTGGCTGCTCCTGGCTTCCGCCTGCGTCTTGGGGCTAGTCACCTGCGACACATTGACGTACCAGAAAGGCGCGATGTCGGACTTTACGATGGTCGACGAGTCCCTCGGCAAGGTATGTAGGCGGCCAGCTCTTCGTCAAGGATGGGGGACCAATAATTCGAAGAACTCGGATCCCTAACTCTCAGCAGATTCGCTTCGCCACCAACTACTTCTTTGACGCTGGGCTATACCTTCCAAAAATCAGCATGTTGGCCATCTACTTCCAACTGCTTACCCATCAAGGTGTGTGGCAGAGGTGGGCTCTGTACTTTGTGACAGCATTCACGGGAAGCTCGGCGCTTATTACGTTGTTTGCCGATACCTTCTGGTGCGGGCCAGAACCGTCCATCAACTGGTGAGACGATCCCGTGGTTCTGCTGTTGCTTTCACATATCAGTGTGCTAGATCTGGTCCATTAACTCGAGCGGAACTCCTCCAGGTCTACTGCGCCGGACGCATGCTCGACCTTTACGTCCATAACATTAGTGCGGATTAACTGGGCATTATGCATCACATGCGAAGTCCTGAGTAAGTCCAGCATCCCATGCGTGCCATTTATCGGCGCCTTGCACCCTTCGTCTAACGGAAGAGTCCAGTCTTTCTCCTCCCACTTCCTGCTGTGTACCGAATAAGGGGCCTTGCTACTCGGGATAAGGCTGGTTTGGTCTTGGTCTTCAGTCTCGGCGCAATCACCATGATAGTTAGTACGGGCCGATTCATCACTATGATGTCTAAAGGCAACAACATCTCCATCTGTAAGACCGGAACACACCTTTCAATTTCGATGGATACTTCGATCTGTTCAACTCTGCCGCTCCACCGCAGATATCACTGCCTCAAGCAACGCTGACAAATCGCACTGGCCAACAGACATCTGGGCGACTGCCGAGTTCACGGTCTCCATCATGGTGGTGGCCTGTATGGCTCTCCGTCCTCTGGCGCGCATAGTCTGGAGCCGGACATCCTTAACGGGGTCCAAATCACACTCCAGTCGGCCGACGTACACCGGCAGTTATGGGCATGAGGTGATACGACCCAGGCCCCACGGCAATATATTCGCGTTGCACGGCCTGGATGCAACAATCAGCGAGGCCGAGCTAAACAGGTCTCAAACCGTGGTCCATGCCCCGGACTCAAGGTGCAGCGATATCGAGCTTCTTAACAGTGTGAATGGAGAAGCTCCAGCAGACGGCCTGGACCGTGCCGGCTGATCGCCAAACTCATATGGTTCCTGTAACGGTCCCAGGAGTGTGTTGCAACTATCTGGTGACGACTCTACGAGTACACGAGACTGAGAGAAGAAAAGAAGAGACCAGAGACTCTGGTGGCTCGCAGGTTTTTTATCCCCGTGAGTGCGCTGGTCTGGGCGCGTTGCTAGAAGGTTCGATGTGTTGTGGCCGAGTGGGAATAGCTTCATCCAGGGGGTTCGGTGGACAGTGCTTGTGCCAGGGTTGGCCGAGGGTCAGCGAGGCCTATACCGGGCCTAGCCCGTTACAGTTCCTGATACCGGATCCATGGGAAATTAGCAAATATCAATGCGCGCCGATTTGTCACCACTTGTGACACTTTTTCTGCTCATCTGCGGAAACCAGGCTGTTCATTCGGGTTCGCCTGTCCCTCGATTTCAAATAGTCCGTAATTAGCGGAAATCACGACGGGCTTGGGATACAGGGACTGTGTAGATCTCTTCCCTCTAAGATCAGTAATTATCCAAATGCCGCGTTAAGCACTGTCCCAGCGTCGTGGCCCTGCACGTGCACTCTGAGTACACGGAGCTGCGGCATCAATTCCTTCGAGGCCAATCATGACTCAGAAGTCTTGGAAAACCCTGATCACTGCTCTTTCGGGTGGGTTGTGGCGCTCCCGATCGAAACTTTCCGCTACTGCGGTAAGGTTATGTGCCTTACGGAGCTGATACGCTCGGATCTGAAGCGAACCTGTTATGCCGCGAACATCTCTTGGTTATTCCTCGTCGTGGAAGAGAGCTACAGAGGTTACCGGCAAAAGTTTTTCAAAATGGGCCAGGTACCGGCAAGGGTCACACACCACCCCCTGAATGTACCAACGCGTCGCGTGCAGCCGTTAGAAAACATCATCATCACCCACCACCTTTGCAATGGCTTTAGAGCGCCCCTCTACACCACCTAGCCAGCGTTTCAAGAACCCTGATCTTACTTGCGATGAGCGTCTTCAAGTTCAAACCCTTTGCAATCTTGTCCTTATATATGAGCAGATCGTTGTACAACTTGACCTTACCTACAACCAAGATGCCGTCTGACCAATTACGGGAAGCAGTAAATACTGCATGGGAAGCAATCCCTGAGGAATTTCTTAGAGAGTGTGTAGATACAATGCCTATACGGCAACAGGCTATCATTGATGCCAATGGAATGCATATCCCTTTCTGACGGCTGCGCGACGCATTGCCGGTACCTGGTCCACTTTGAAAACTTTTGCCGGTAACCTCTGTAGCTGGAACGTCCGCAGGCGCACAGACCGCGGGGTCGTGCGCAGTCGCAGCTGATCGCGCCGATCGCATGACTGGACGGGCTGTGGAACATGGGCGTCAGCCCTCCGCCTGCGCTGCCTGCCGGACTTTTGCCGTGGTTCATCAGCGAGCTCCCATTATCCCCAGACTCACCATACTGTGTATCGAGTACGGCCTGGCCGAGGTGCCAAACACAGTGCTTCGACACTGGACAGACCGCGGACTACCTACACACTTACAGGTAGTGAAATCCAGGAAATCGTCCACGCCTCTACACTACACAATACCTGGAGAGACACTGGGGCCGACTGCGGAAGTGGAGGAACCGCGCAAACCACGGGGCCGGGGCCACTTGCTACGCTAAGGCCGGACCAACCCTTTCCCCAGAGCCGGCTGAAAAAGCTTGACCTCGTCCATCCTGGTCCGCCGCTCATCTGCCCAAACATGCCTAACTACCTGAGACAACTAGCGTAACCCCCCCCGGCCTCAGGCTTGGCCTTCGCCCAGGCAACCAAGGTAGTGGCGCTCGCAGGATCTGACAGTGTCCTGTACCAGCTAGGCGGCTGTCCGTTAGCTCCAGACATGGCCGTCGAGCAGGAGTGACCCCTTTTCTTCCTCGGTGCAACGAGACTTCTAATACCCCCCACTCTGCCGTCTCTGCCGTCTCGGTCGTGCTGTGACTGCGTGGTGCTGCTCTTCATCAAGTTGGCCTTCCCGTTCCAGTACTACCGCGTCTAGTGCTGGCGGTGCAGCACATGCGCATCGTCTACCTGGTCGGCTGGGCACTGTCGCAGGTGCTGGTCACCGTCATCGCGTGCAACCCGCTGTCAGGCTGAAGAGCGGCCAGAGCAACCCGTCCCTTGAAGTGCATGTGGTGCGCGAGCTGAGCGCCGATGTCAAGCGGGGGTGCATGGCTGGCTCGGCCGGTCCGGCGTGAGGGAGTACATCGCGGCTTTGGCGCTCGAGAGGGCAAGGGGGGGAGATGTGAACCTTTGTCTCTCCTGATTAACGATTCTTCTGTTCTGTGGGCACACCGCCAGCCGTCTACGTCTGTCTATGAACACGAGAATTCCACGCATTCACTTGTTCTTCCTGTCATCCACCTCGTCCAAGATGGCAGCCTGCAGCTCTTCTCCATGCGGAAGGTCGTCATGGACGATGTCGTAAGGCTCGCTGGTGCTAAGGGACGGTCGGAGGAGGAAGCGGCCCACGAGCTTGAAAAGCAGTGGGTTGAGGGCGGTGGTCTCTCGCTAAATGCTCTCACAAAGCAACTAAAGGCCGCCCGGAAGTCGTAGAAGCCGTCTCTCAAACTGAGAACATCCATAATCACACACGCTATGCTTCGTGTAACGTACATTATTAGCGAGCGGGACATATCAGCAAGCGGGACATATCAGCGAGCGGGACATATCAGCGAGCGGGACATATCAGCGAGCGGGACACTCTCCACTACTCTATAACAACTACTCTCAATTGCAATGCAACAACACTAAGAACCAACTATAATTACATCAGAAACAGATGAATCAGACCCTTCTGCACCCTCCTAGCAAGTGCGGGCATTATAGCCAGGCTTGCCGCACATACCACAGCACCGAACCTTCATACGACCCCCCCCCCCCCTTAAGCACCACTACCATCCAGCTGTGTTTCTTGCATTGCCTCCCCACCTATAGCCCCCTGGCTTACCACCTCCTGTGCCTCCTACACAGTAAGTGATCCTCCAAGCCGCACACGTATTTTTTTTGGCTCTCCGGCGCTTGCTTAGCGCCTCGTTAGCCTTATGGAGCGAAGATACCTCTGCCTGAAGGAGGGCCACCTAGTGCATTATAGCCATTGTACCCTTGGTAAGCTGGTCTATAGCAGCCAACATTGAAGTCGGGGAGCTATTTTGATGATTGGCAATGCGAGTCTTAATAAGCGTTGACTGTGACTTGGCTTCTCGAGGGTTGTATAGTGTCTGGAAGACCTAAGATTGTATAGTGCCTAGCTGTAAGGTTGGAGGTGTTAGTATACGAAGCTTGATATCTAGCTTCGAAAGCACTCTCTCTAGATCGTACGGCATAAGGCCAGCCCCTGTAAAACCACTCTGTATATTCCTCTTGGTAATAGAGGCAAAGAAGGCTGTGCGAAAGATATAAAGGAACTCGAGCTTACTTATATAGTTGATATGCATGCGTATCAAGTCCTTGATCTAGCGACCGTACGCCTGCTTCAACAGCCCAAAGCAGCCAACATCAAGTGGCTAGAGGATGTGGGAGGAATGTGGAGGCATGCAGAGCGTGATAATGTTGTTCTGCTGGCAGTAGAGCTCGAACTCGGTTGAGTGGTGGCTTTTATGGCCATCGAGGATCAATAACCAGTATTTGCCTTTTGTCTAAGGCGCTATATAGTAGTCGAAGTGCTTGATCCAATCAAGGCCTATTACATTGGTAGTCTAGCCATTCTTGGTAGTTGCAATGCGCCAGTCGGCTAGGAGGTTGCACTCGGTATACCAGTTGGCGAGGTAGTACTGCACGGTTAAGATAATGAACGGAGGGATAGCCTAGCTAAGGGCATTGACGCTTTGGATCACCGTCGCCTATTTGCGGTTGCTAGGCTGGGCCAGCTTCGCCTTGCTATAGCTATCCAAGGTCGTAACTACTATACCCGAGAAGATAATACCTATTATAAACCTAGTCTTATCGAAGTTCTAGATATCGTCATCTATAATGCCGTACTTGGCCTTAAAGTTCTATATAAGGGCAAACCATTCGCCAATAACCTTCAGATCCTCGCACTTAGCTCTCTAGTAGTCGTATCTACATATATAATACGTCCGGAGCTCTAGCTGGCATTTGACAAAGTTATACGCCTAGAGCTTGCCGATAAGGGGCACGTCGTATATATATAGCAGTTGGTTAGCTATATCTTCTATACTATATAGTCTCGGCAGAAAAGCTCGCTTAGATAGCTCAATTATATATTGAACAAGAGCCTTCTCTTCGGAGTCGGTGAGCTGGCGAGAGTTGGGCGTAGTATCGCGTCGTACAGGTTAGCCAGCGCGCTAGTTGTAGAGAGTCGTAACTAGCATGTTATAGAGCTTGGCTACGGCTTAGATGCTTAGTTCCTTATCGTTTTAAAGAGCTTTAAGGGCTAAAATTACCCTAGCTTCTTTTGAAGTAGAAGATATATTAGGTTGTAGAAAAACTAATGTTTAGATGGAGGGAAGACGCATTGTGCTAAGAAGTGTTCGACTCGCTTATATGTTCGGCCCGCTTATAATGCACGTTAGCTCGATGGTAAGCGCCATACATCTAGGGAGCGCTATACCTATCTATTACACCCTCTTTCTCTCTAGTAAGCTTATAGAATCTTTAAAGACCTAATTGAAATTAGTAATAAATCAGTATAATATCCTAAGCTTTATATCGAGATTAGATATCGGTTAAGGAAGCCTAAGAGGATAGAAGAGAAGACATATTCAGTCTAGGCTTCCTATATTCTATTACGCTCCGTATTTATATCCGGAGCAATAAAGGGCTTCTTATTACCCTTCTCCTTAATAGCACAGACTATATAAGCCTAGAGGAGCGCTTTAACCTTAACTAGGTCCGCCCTAGAGAAACGCGACTATTATTGCACACTTATAGTAAGATAAGAAGTACGTTAGGAATAGGAAGAACAACGAAAAGGTAAGGGAGGAAGGGAGTTCTCTAGGGAGGGTGAGTTAAAAAGTGCGTTAGGAGTAGGAAGAATGAGGAAAAGGTAAGAGAGGAAGGGAGTTATATAGTTGGGGGGGAGAGAAGGGAGGCAACGATAGCATGAGCGAGCTAGGCTAGCAAGGCTAGCAACGCCAGCATATCGAGGCTCGGGGGTTAGGCGCAGTTGGTTCGCGTCCCCGAACCGGGAACGGGATCCTGGCGCCTAAAATATATCGCCATCGCGATTGCGCGGGGTGCAAGCTGAGGGACCGGATGGGGTGTGAACCAAGTAGATTGGGCGACGCCTTCCAGCCTCCGTCGCCGGCGCCGTTTGGAGTTGTTACGGAGCCGGCCCCACTCCAGGAACGCAAACGGGTTTTTGGCCGGCAAAACTTCGGGCGAGGCGCTAGTCCGTGCTCGCTGGGTCATCAATTGCAGTTGTGCGAAAGGCAAGATTTTGCATCCTGCGATGCTTCTGTACATAGTGTTTACCAGCACTTGTATGTTGTTTGAACAAAAGAGCCGATCCTTTCGGAGCTGTCGGAATTGTCGCGCAAGAAAACGTTTTTGTTGTCCTAGACAGTGTTGCCTGAAGTGCTCGTGAGCGGAGGGGAACGGACCATGCCCGTCTGCCCAAGGGCGCACAACCTCGATGTCGCGATGCTGACACCAGATGGCAAAGGGTGGTAGAGGTGCCGGAAAGAAATCGGCAAACAGGATATGTCGAGAAACAAAAGAACTGTCACGGAGTGGGTGCAATTGACCACACTGTAACACCACCGAAAATATGGGCTGATGCTCGGCCTGCTTGTCGAACAGCCAGAGGTGCACCCAAGAACCCACACCTATTCACCGGCCCATAACATGAACACTCAAGCTTTGGCAGCACAGTTAGGTGTACTCGTCATTTAATACTAGCAGCCTATCCTCCTTAATATGACAAAATACAACCTGGAAAGGTGCATGGCTTCGCCGGGAGAATGTCTATAATCGTGGAAATCTATACAAGTGCAGTGAAGGCATCATAAAATTTCACGCAAGTTCATCCCAGATCTATTCTCTCTTCCCATTGAAAACACCACCCCGATTTCTCTAGTTCATCATATCTCTAGATCCGAAAAAGAAAAATTAATAAATAAAAATAAATAAAGGAAAACTGAAAACGGCGGAACGTGAGGGAATCTACCAATGCGGGGTGTTCATAGCCAAACCCATAAGGCAGCCGCCAATGAGACCAGCAATGGGTACGGTCATGACCCACGAGAAGAACAAGAGTCCCACGTGCTTCCAGTTGACGGACTTGAAGGTGCCGTTGCAAAGGCCGACGCCGACGGTGGCTCCCGTGATGCACATGGAGGTCGACACGGGCAGCTTATACTGCGAGAAGATGAGAATCGTGATGGCGGCGCCCAGCCCCATAGACGAACCGCGGCTGGGCGAGTAGTAGGTGAGCTTATTGCCCATGACCTTTATAATGTTGTAGCCGTACGTAATAAAACCGATGCAGATGGCCGCCGCCGTAACGCCGAGTTGCTGGTACTATAAGTACGTGTATTTGACTACGGCCCTATCAGTGGCGGCGCCCTTCTTGCTATCGCCGGCGGAGACCGAGACCGGGGCGGCCGGGGTGATGTTGTAGGTGCTGCTGCTATTGCTCTTCTTGTGGGCGTATATATCGTCTATGGAGTCCGAGTCAGATAGGGCCGCCTAGATGACGGCATAATTCGGAACCTTAACCTCGAGATGCTCGGCATCCGGGGGCATAGGGCGCTTAAAGAGAAGCGGCCCTTAGAACATCATCTACCACCGTACTATATAGTCCCTCTTAATAACCTTGGCGTATATATACGGTATAAAGAAGATCGCCGACATTAGGCAGAGGGCAAAGGCTGGTGCCGACCGAGATATATGCAATCTACTAGCCGGGCTTCTTGTCAAGGCCTAGTCGTGGCAAGCCCTTATATACAATGGAGAGCGTATAGACTGTGCCGGCGATGAGGAAGAAGGCTGGCGAGGTCTAGACCGCCTACGGTAGCGGGTTCTTACGCTTATGGACCGTCAGCTTGATGAGCATGAAGACGATGGCGCCGAAGCAGGCCGAAATAAAGGGCGCCATAGCTAGGCCGGCGAAGATGGCACCGAGACCGGAGCCTTTGCTCTAGCCCCATTGCACCTTGCTGGCGCCGACCGTAGCAATACCGACGCCGGCGATGGACGAGACGAGCGAGTAGGTCGACGACATGTGGGCCGAGTTACGCGTGTACTATATTACCTATAGCGTGGCGCCGGCGGAGGAGTAGGCGAAGGCAAGCAGCTGGACGCCCGCGTTATCGCCAAAAGCGCTGCAGGGAATGATGCCGTTCTTGATGGTCGACGCCGTCCTGGCACCCACAGCGTGCGCCCCGGTTAACTCGAAGATGGTGTATAGGACCATGGCCTGTCTGTACGTCACGGACCGCGACGAGACACTGGTAGCCCACGCATTCGCCATATTGTCTATATAGAGCAAAATGGGTCAGAAATCAATCAGAAATCCTATAAATATGGTAGGCAGGGTTGGACAAGGACGTACTAGCGCCATTGTTGTAGGCTTCGAGCAGGGCGAAGCAGCTGCCGATAGCGAAGATATAGGTATAACTGTCGAGCACCATCTTGGCGAGCTTGTGGCTTGCGACGGACGGTCTTGGACCACTGGGCAGACTGGGCAGCCAAGAGGCGAGGAAGGCGACCAAGCCCACGGACATCTACCTAGTTATATCATATCGCCAACCCGCCGTGCTGCTGGCCGGAGTTGGCCTTCCAGACCATTGCAAACATGGTCCAGCTCGGTGTCTGATCCAGCAAGTTGCCCGTCTGGATGGCGAAAACTAGTTGCTTGCTCGACGAAGTTGAGACTTGGCGCTCGTTCGAGAGCAACACACGTGCTTAAAGTAGATGGGATTACTGGGAGCTTCGCACCTACTGTAGATCTCATCATCTCTTGGCGCATTCGCCTGAACCGCGCCCCTTCGACGAATCCCACCACGGGCGTCAAATTTCTCGTTCGAGCCTCGGTCAAGCAGTCCATGCTGGTCTAGAACGCACGCAGCATGTGTGCAGCATCGGCGAGATGCAGTACGATTAAAATGGAAAAGAGGCACGAGAGAGTGTGTTTTCAGCCCTCAGCCTGTGGTTACACCAGTATACCCGATATCGCCAGCCCACCGCACCCCCTTTTCGTGGTAACCGCCACTCAATCTGGCCCAAATCGCTCAGAAAACTGCATTGAGAGAGGTATTGTGTCTAGCGGAATGCTTAAAAATCTATTTGTCAGTCCCACCATCTCCCTGGCCCGGGCCTGCCCTGAAACGTCTACCTATCGTATCTAGCTTTCCCGGGAGAAACGCCTCCGTAACCACCGACACTCGATAAAGCACACATGCATGACAGACCCAATGCTTTGCAAAGGCCAGCTGTTCAGGGAAAGAGTTGTGGGACAAGCACAGAATTCGGTCCCCGGTTCTTCCAGTTGCCTGCTCGCGGACCATTCCGTAGCCCTGACCGATCAGCAATTGAGGTGCGAGCAGGGAATTGGCGGCCACCTCGCGCTGGCTGGTGTGCGCACCGCGAGGCATCACGTGTCCCAGCTTGAGCTTGACCAGTCACTCTGCGCAGGCGAAGTCCAGGCCGCTGTTGCCGCCCCGTCAAGATGGCCGTTTGTCTGGCTCACGGCCTTCATGCAGGTGTCGGCCGAGTTGACAATGTACCGTGGTAGTACTTCATATGCGGCTTCACCGAGATTTTGGAAAGCCTCCAAAAGGCCTCGAACCTCCAATCGACGGCCAGGCGGGATCAACTCAACCACACTGACGGGAAAAGACACTGCACGGTATATTGAATGGCATGCTCGTCATCCAAGGTTCACATACATACCTATCCATGGATCGAACATTCGTCCGCCGCATCTCGCCAGTTGCCGTCAACTTCTGGGCCGCTGGGCCTGGGCACCTGGAGTCTTACACTTACCGCATTGGGTAAACAATCAATCCTTGACGCGGACGAGACGTCGCGGGTCTTTATCCGCCAGTGTGAGTATGCCGTACTGCTGTGAGCTGGGTGCATCATACAACATTATCCATCCATTTCAATACCGATAGCAGAGACTTGGCAGTTTTCCTCAACATGATCCAGAGCATGTATCCGCTCGAATGTTGCGTCGGGCAAAACGACACCACCTCCTTCTATTGGCTGTGCATCGACGCTGCCTACTTTCCACTCTCTGCTCTTTTACAGCGAGCGCCTTCCATGGTCTGTTTCTCGACCGTAACTTTAGATGTGGCATCTCACGACCGTGGAAGCAACCTGGTCTCATACTTCTCGAGTCGCACCCGGCACCAACCTGCGATGAGCCCTTGCACTGTTGCAGCAGAGGCTGGAGGACAGCACCCGGCAGATCGAGGATGTGACGGCTGCAGTTGTAATCGCGCTGGCCATGGTGGCCGAAGCTGTGGGCGACCACGAAGCAAGCCAAACCCATGTGAAAGGGTTGAGACAGATTGTGCGGCTGAGGGCCGGCATGACAGCCACGAAGAGCAACACGGAGGCTCAGATCAAGATGTGCCAGTAAGAACAACCCTAAGTCATTTCGACACCTTGGAGAACTAAACTAGACTAACCTTTGCCTTCTCTTTTCCCTTAGTGTCGATCTCAGCTGGTACCTCAAGACCGGCTGGAAGCCCGTGTTCTTTGACGGCCATGTGTCGCGGTCACGCTTTCTTCGACCAGATCAGTGTCCACGGACTTACAGTTCATTCCCCTCCGGTAGCCACCCAAGAGGATCCTCTCTCCGAATATATTCAAACCATAGACGCAAGGCAACACAAACACAACATCTACAGCGACATGCGCACCTTCATTGCCATCGCCAATCTCCTCATCAACAACAATAATGGCAACGACAACAAGTTCCATCCAGAAGTCGTTCTCGAAATTATAACATCCATCCAGTACCGTCTACTGCAGCTCGAATACTCCTTCACATCACATCCTTTTGAAGAGGCCATCCGCACCGACCTCCTCGCCTTCATAGCGAGCATCTTTCTGAATCGTCCCGGGCTCAAGTCCAATTATTATGAGTTCTTGCACGGCAGGCTACGTGTTTCTATCGATGCGCTCGATGCCTTGTCCGTGTCCACCAGGCCGGTACTGCGCGATCTGAAGCTATGGCTGCTGCTTATCGGATCCATTGCTACTACGATAGATATCTACCAACCGTGGCTGGCGGATTCTGTTGGGGGTCTTGTTGATATTGATGGTATGGAGGAGGACTGGCCTCGGGTCCGTAGGAGGATGAAGGGAGTCCTGTGGGTTGATTGATGCTGTGCACGACCGGCCCGGCAAGGAGGTGTTTAACACCGCTTGGGTAAGTCATCGTGCGTGAACATCTCAGAAACAGAATAACATTAACTCGACGACATGACAGAATATTGAGCTGTTTCCAAACTCCTCCACTCTTAATCAAACCTCCTTAGTGAATGCAGTCATATAAGATCTGCACCAGTCTCACTATCTGTGTCTTTCGACCCCCCTTGAAGGTGTCAGAAATTTCAAGATGCCAACCCGCCGATAGCAACCATTGTCAGCGTCCCGCATGGCCATACCCACTCCAAGACGTCCAGGTTTATAACTCACTCAAGAGTCCCAAGGTCTGTAACCCAAAACCAGCAAACATACGCCATCTTCAAGAGAGTCCTTATCAGACTATGTTTCTACCGTCAGAGCTATCTAGCGGTAGCTTCCTGGCTCAATGACGATTCCTCTCAACACAAGCGTGGCGGGCTCGCCACATCGCCAACCGAGCGCATTCAGAATTTCGACGACTTCCACTTTATGGTCTTCAGCCATCTCAAAGGATATATACTGACCCCCGGCAAGCCAGGGCCAACTTGGAACGGAGCCTTTAGGCAGCCGGCTTCCCTCCATTAAAGCCCGCCAACCCAAGTGCTGTATCAAGCATCTCCCCCACATACCAGCGATGTGCATGTCGTCCCAAAGCCTCGCGACCTCGCGTGCAATTCCAGAGGGCGTATGCACCTTGTCCGTGAGAACGGCGAACTTGCGTTGAGAGCATTGCTCGACAATCTTAGCCCATAGGTGTGTCTGTTGCTTTACGGTCCTGCCGCCGCGGGAGTGACTTGCGGGGACGAATGTCACATTCTGCGGGTGGTATTCGATATGACGTGGGACCATGTTTTGGATGTGTCTTGGCGGCAGCGCCAAATGACTTCCTTCTCGCTATACACAATGAGTCTCGCAGCTAACTGATGCTCTTGCAGCGTCCACCCGCGGTAGTCAATCGGATGGTAAGAACGATAGTCCGAGAGGACCGTCCCAATATAGGCATGACCGTCCCCTCTATCCTGCGAGAGAAACGGGAGTCGGCATTTCTCTAATGTTGTTCTGTCGGCTAGAAATCCTTCCTGTGCGGATCGAGCCCTCGCTGCAGAAACGGTAACCAACGCGGTGCCGAAAATCTGTCCCATTCCGCTAATCTCCTTGGACTTGTCGTTTTCGTCGTCTTACACGATGGAAAGTGCGTTCATCCAGAGGTAACGAATCCCTAAGGGCCTCGTTACGGTGATGGCGTCGCGAATCATCGCTGGGAGGCTGTTGAGGTCAAGTCCCTTGCTATACACCTCGAGGTTCTCAGTTGTCGTAGTAATCTTTTGGACTCCTTCCCAACAATAGCTGAGTGCTGCGTAGTGCCCTGTTTCGGTCGGCTCAGTTGAATGGAGCTGCAACATTTCGGGCTCGGCATGACCATCGCGTCCCACATCTAGTACCCTACTCGGGAGGAATGGATTTTATGATGGCCCTGCACTTGGCGTGTCGAGTTTGACATTCGTCAATCCAAAGCCTTCAGTTGGTTGACCACCAGAGCGCTAGACACCTTGGACGGTATGGGGCGTCCAGATATGTATTTTACTGGTGGGTCGTCTGGAATTCCGTCAGACCTTAGAACCAGAAGGATGAAGGGGGTATTCTTGCATCGACGTACAGTACCTATGGGCGTGTAGATGAGTAGCCTTGACAGGAGTGTGCCGTTAGGCCTGAAGACGCCTAGACCGTCAATCAAGGGCGTGTCCCCCGACTTGGCAAGCTTCCAACATGCTTGATCTCCACACATGGCGAAGAGTATCAGCACACCACTGCCAACTTCAAGATAGTGCAACACGGCCACTGGTCGGATCGTATCGCAAAAGAAGGCAGCCTTTCCTCTGATCGGAGGCGCAAATCGGCGAAAGTGGAATGCTGGAACCCTGTAGCGGAGAGAAGGCTTTGCACACCATTCTTCGTCGAGATCATGGATTTACAAAGCTTGCAGTAAGGTAAAGAGCAATCAGAGTAGTCTGATCGATGCTCTTTCAGTTCTTCGCTTGCCCGCTGCAGCCTCTCGTCGCTCCAGCGTCGTTTGCCGTCCATCTCCATGACGTTGGCAAGGGGGAACAACTGCGGAGGAAGGAGTCTGGGATAGGTCCGTGTAATCTCCTGGCAAGCTCAGCAGCATCCGTGGAATCAGGTTCTGAGTCGACTCAACAAGCACGCATTGCGCAAAAGACAAAATACGTTGTTCCAACAAAGTAACAGAGTGCAAGCGAACCATCGACGCTGAGGTAGTTGAACGCGGGAGGAAAATTTACCTCGGGCTACACAGTGGCTGTGTAGTGTCAGGTGAAGAAGTATTCCCAGATTGCATCCCGGCGCGCCCGGACCACCGCGCCCAACTCAGCTCATTTGCAGTTCATGGACCGCCAAGTTCTCTCGTCTTCCTTGTCTTTCTTCAAGGTTAGTGTACTCGTAGAGTCGTCATCAACCAGTTGCAAATATACTCGTTGAGAGTGTTGCATTACACTGAATTTCCTTTCTTCGAAGTCAATGTGAGGAAGGTTTGGTTTTTCTTGTCTGTTCAGACAGAGAACTGCGTCATTTATGCTGATATTGCCACCGCAAAAGCAACAGAGCGGCTTCGGTTGGTATAGTCCTCGCGCAATACCAGGCGCGCAAGACACCGCAAGACACCGCAAGACACCAGCAATCGGACTGGTTGAGCGAAGGGCAAGACCCCGGCAACGCTGACCGGGTGAGCTACAACGTTTCCTGCAAGATACTAGCCTGCGGGAGCTGGTTGAACCGCACGTTGTTTTACGAGTCGAATCCCACATTCCCGACTGTTACGCCACGAGAGCGAAGACCTCGAGCCCAAGGGAGCCGAGTAGCTAGGCACGACCGGAACACCGCGAGTTCCAAGATACTGGTCACCGAAGACCAGATGAGCGAAGTGCGTTACCAAAGCGCGAGGTAGCGCAGACGATCGGGAAACCCTCACATAGCGTGGGGCACTCAAAGGGCGACCTTCCGACCAGACAAAGGTCACAATTGGCAACACGGGAACAACAACTGCGACGATGAACACCGAGGCATCAGTTCGGCCCCAGGATTGGGACCAGCAACTGATGAGGACGATAACCCAAATGATGGGCCAGATAATTGAACTTCGAAACGAACATGCTCAGCGCCCTTACGGAGATGGAAGGTCGCTTGGCCAAGTCGTCGCTAGGAGTACTTGGAGGCGAAGCAGGGCTTGTACGAGCTGATGACCGAACTTCAACGAACCGGATGTAGTTATCGTGCCAAGGCACTTTAGGCTCCGGGCGAAATAAATCCATCCATCCGTCAAATATGTCCCTCACTATAGTTAACGGCAATCGGATTAGAGACCTCGGTCGATCTCGGTATATCATTAACCCCGCTGTGATCATACATGCGGACGCTGCCAGGGTAGAGAAACGCAAACCGCAGACTCGCCGGCCACCGCGGGTCACCGGCATCGTACACGAGCGGATGCCTTGCATGTAAAGTAGGCGCGGAGGGACCGCTTGCCCTACTGGGATGGGCGACTGCCCCTACGGCATAAGGTAACGTTAAATAATACTGTAAATATAATAATAGTACCGGCTTCCCTGCTATATCTGAAGTTAGCGGTATTGTACAGTAACTACTCTTCTAGTATCACCATGATTCAGTCGCTTGCAGCGTTCAGCGTCACACCGGCTGCGGCCCTGGCCTCATGCTGACACTTCCAGCCGAAGCGCGGATAAATCGCTACCATACCAGGCATGACAAGGATTTACGTCACTTCTGTTCGCTCTTTGCTAATACTATTGGCGCGCCTAGGAGGCGGGTTCTGAGTTGACCGCCAGGTAACATTGAAACCGAATAGGATCGCAAAGGCAGCACTCTGGTGACATCCAATTACTTGGTGAAACTGTGCTTGGACACCGATGCCTTTCCGGCTACAAACGGGTAAAGGCTCGAATCAGGCGTAAACTTGTATTTCTATGAGCCTGTCTAATGTCGATCGAGGATCAGCATCGGTCATAGCTATGACAGATTCTTTTATAGTCACTTCGAAACAACCGTATTAGGACACTGTTGAGGAATGATGTTGAACAAGCTACTTGTACCGCTGATTGTTCTCTTCTCGAGAGCTTCATCGCGAACCGCGTCAGAAAAACGGCTCGACAATGGCGTTGGACGCACGCCAGCACTCGGCTGGAACTCTTGGGTGTTTATTTATCCAGAAACACGTTAGGGTTGAAAGGACATGAAGCTGACGAAATACCCTACAGAACCAGGGAGGCTGCAACGCGGCTTCAGCTACTGTCGTGCTGAACACAGCTAAGGCCTTCGTCGACCTGGGCCTCAAGGACCTTGGATACACCTACGTTAACATCGACGACTGCTGGTCGGCCAAGCAGCGCAACAGCACCGGCCACCTTGTTGCTGACACGTCAAAGTTTCCAAAGGGCATCGATGGCCTCGCTCGCGAGGTCCATGCCATGGGGCTGAAGCTCGGTTTGTACGGCGACGCGGGCACCCAGACGTGCGCTCTGTATCCGGGGTCGTACGGCTCCGAGCAGAAGGACGCGGACACGCTTGCTGCCTGGGGCGTCGACTACTGGAAGTTTGACAACTGCCTGACGGAGCAGGTCTACACGAACAAGGGTATCAAGTCGCAGCAGTATTACCCCATCATGCGCGATGCGCTGCTCAAGACGGGCAGACCCATTTTGTTTTCTATTTGCCAGTGGGGAAGAGACGAGGTATGGACCTGGGGAGGCAAGGTTGGGAACTCGTGGCGCATGTCCGAGGACATCCAAAACAACTGGGCGTCTGTCTCGAGTATCGCAGCCAGGGCAGCCACCATGTATCAGTATGCGGCCCCGGGCGGCTTCAACGATTTGGATATGATGGTACGCTTGATACGTGATTTAGCCGGCTGGCAGTTTTTACAGCTAACACTAAACAGGAACTCGGCAACGGCGTTCTCACCGAAGCGGAGGAGCGAGCCCATTTTGGTCTGTGGGCCATCATGAAGTCGCCCATAATCATGGGCACAGACATGACCAAACTGAAGGCATCGACGTTGAATATCATCAAGAACAAGGTAATAGAAATTGGTTAACCACCAACCGTAGGCGGGCGAAAGTTGAAGCTGACACGAGAAAGGGCATCCTGGCCATCCACCAAGACCCCCTCGGCAAAGCCGCCACCACTTTTACGCCGAAGGGTCAGCCCGCGCCCGTCAGCGGCAAGCTGTACAGGTACTATGCCGGGCCGCTTTCTGACGGAGTTGTCGTTGGCCTGGTCGCGGCGGACGGAGCCGAGACGCTGACGGTCAACTTTAGCGACGTGCCCGGCCTAGGCGCGGGTAGCTTCACGTGGACGGAGCTGTATAGTGGACGTAACGGGACGGGCACGTCGGTGTCGCAGAGGCTGGCCACGCACGATATGGCCGTGTTCAAGGTTGTGACCCACGTGTAAGTGTGATAAGGATATAGGGGTTCCCCTGGCCCTGCAGTGCGATGTCTTTCCTTTTACTTTAGTGTGACAGTAAGCTGCAACTTGGGGAGCTCATGGCAAAAAGATGCCTGATTGTTGCGAAGCCCTTTTTATCGCAGTACTATCCTTTTTACTAAATAGTTCAGCCAATGCGCACTTCATACCGCTCCCCCTTTCCCGGAATATTGTTCCGACCACTATCTGTCAACCTTCATCACGCCGCAGCAGTGATCTCATACAACCCCCCAACCTCCGTCTCCACGGCACCCTCATACCTCTTCCCATCCACAAAAAACCCCATTCCCCCTTGCACCCTTACCCTCAACAACCCCCCACTCCGCGCCTCAATGCTCGCCCGCACAAACAAGCCCCCCTCCCAAACCAACTCGCGCACCACGAACCCCCCTCTCGCCACCAACCCGTCCACTCGCCCCTTCCCACCCACCACTTTTGGCAGCGCTGGCAACAAATGCACAGTCCAGTCATGGCTCTGCAAAAACACCTCCGCCATGCCAGCCACCAGCCCAAAGTTCCCGTCGATCTGAAACGGCGTACCCGGCCCGTTATCCGAGTTCCACAGGTTTGGCGAGGGGAATGTCTGGATGAGCGTCTGCGCGTGCCGCCACGCGTCGTCCCCGCGCACCAGGCGCGCGTACAGGTTCACCGCCCACGCGCGCGACCAGCCGGTGGAGCCGGAGCCGGAGGCCATGCGGTGGTCTAGGAGGGCGGCAGCGGCCGTTGTTAGGGACACGGAGGTGGTGAGTTGGCTGCCTGGGTAGAGCGCCCAGAGCGGGGAGAAGTGCCTGTGGCCGGGCTCGGTGTCGGCGTAGGAGGAAGAGCGCCATTCTTGGAGGCGCGAGGTGGTGGGGTTGATGGTGGGCGGGCGTATTTGTGGGAGTTTGGCGCGAGCGGCGGTGCAGTCTGGGTCAGTGGGGGGGAGGCCGAGGGTGGCGCAGGTCTCGTTGATGTTGGTGAAGAGCTGGTGGAGGAGCTGGTTGTCCATTTCGATGCTGATGTCGAGGCCTTCGCTCTTGCCGGCCTGGCGCATGCCCTGGGGCACGACGAAGGCGTGCTCGGGAGAGAGGGACGGGCCGGCGGTCCAGTAGTTGTTCCATTGGAAGAGGTAGCAGTGGTAGAACTGGGCGGTTTGGCGGAGGATGGGCCACGCGACTTGCTGGAGGAAGGTCTTGTTCTGCGTGAAGCGGTAGTGCTCCATGGCGTCGGCCGACAGCCAGGCGGCGCCCATCGGCCACACGGTGTACGGCGTGCCCTTGTCGACAGGGGCCGCGTCGCCCCAGAGGTCTGTGTTGTGGTGCAACATGAAGCCGTGGTCGCAACCGTACATGGTCTTGGCCACGGCTTGGCCCCGGGGAATGGCGACATTGATCAGGTCGAACACGGGCTTCTGGGTCTCGGCTAGGTTGGTGACCAGTGCGGGCCAGTAGTTCATCTCGAGGTTGATGTTGATGGTGTACTTGCTCTGCCACGCGGGGGAATAGTCCCGGTTCCAGATGCCCTGCAGGTTGGCTGGAAGAGAGCGCGGTCCGGTGTCCCGGGAGGAAGAGACAAGAAGATGGCGGCCAAAGTTGAACATGAGGGTCATCATCTGGGGATCCGCGTTGGGGTTCCTCTTGAAGTTGCTCAGCCGGGTGGGCACCGGTTGTAATCCAGCATCGCCCGAGGACCCGAGGTCGAGCTTCACGCGTCCCATGAGACTGCTGAAATCGTCAATGGCAGCTTTACGAACCGCTGGGTAGCCTGCGGCCACGGCGGCATCGAGCTTTCGTTTCAGCTCGGCCTGCGCCGCGGCAGCGCTGGGATATCGGTATGTCGTCTCGGCGTCGAAGAAGACGTCAACCATATCAGCTCCCGTTATGGAAATAGTCTTGCCATCCGGGGAAGTGGCGGTGCCTAAGGGGAGTCAACTGTACCGTGTTTTACACAATAATCCTTTCTGCGATACTCACCCCCTGAGTTGAGGATTCTGGCTTCAGACCAGAAGGTGATGGCTTCGGAAGCCTGCCCGCTATTTGCGCTCAAAGCGACAGTGTGGGCGCTCGCGCCGCTGCCGGTACGAGCTGTCTGGGAGAGAATCCATTGGGCGCGAGAGAGGGAAAGCTTGACGTTGAGCTTGCCCTGCCCGCTGGCACTCAGGCGAAAGGCGAGAACGCCATGGGGATAGCTGGCGACGTATTCACGGCTGTTCTTGTCAGCTCGTGGGCTATACGGGGTGGCCCATGTGAAGCCACCATATAACTGGTATCTCACCTGTGGTTGGTGCCGCCGTGGATGTAATTAACCCCGGCTGTGCCCTGGTACGTGTCGAGCCAGCGGGTGTAGGACGAGATGCCGGAGCTGTGCCCAAAGTCGATGCCGACGTTGACCAGCGGATGGTATGCTCTCGGCGAGGTTGGGTTGCCCGCCATATTGTCCATGGCAGATTCGCCGGCGCCCGTTATGTTCCCCAAGATTAGCATCTGCCTGATTTTGGGAACAGCATCCTTGGACTTTGGGTTTGCACGGTCCAGCCACGGGCCGCTCCAGACCGAGTTCTCATTCAACACCAGCTTTTCCTCGGCCATCCCAAAGACAGCCGCACCAAGTCTTCCATTGCCGATGGGCAGAGCACTCTGGAAGTCGTTGCCTGCATCTGATGTGTACCAAGCGAAGCGTGAGCCATCCCACGGTGTAGCAGCGTCGACAATGGCAGAGCCCAGAACTAAAAAGGCCGTGGATATCATGTTAGAAGTCATGCCCACACATAATGCGAAGTTGTGGCTACCTATGCTGGTGAATTCTTGCATGGTGGGAGCCCCCTTTTATGCACAACACCGGCGATCGCCCCCGAGAACCCGTAAAGAGAGATGTTACTTTCTATCTGCACTCTATTACCCGAGTCGATCGGGGTAAATGACTCAGCCCGGGTCACCAACGCTTCACCTGATTCGCGCGCCTATCCTACTGCGGGTGAAAGTCTAGTAAACACCGAACAATGCGAAGCGCCCCTGTTAATGGACGATACCCCTTAACTATAGTTTACCAGTGAAAATGGGGCATGGATATTCGAGCGGTAGATTAGATCCCCCAGTCTTGGAGTCCAGATTCAAGCACTGGTCTCTATCATCTGGCTAAGGGGGAGGTAGCATTTCAATCCCAAGCTGGTGCCGACTTTCCGAGAATTTGCAAGAAGTCTGTAAGCATAATTGAGCAGGCATTATTGACGTGCCAATGCTGGAAATGTCCATATTCAGATAGGGCCGATCCATGTTCTAGGACTCAAAGTAAGCTACCCTGCTGAAGGAGCCAGGTGGTTGGTCATTGTTGACAATGACCATGCTGAAGTTGGAGATACAACCGTTCTTTCCAGGCACTGCCGTGCCGGGGTTGCCTGTTTCCGACTTGGACTCGGTGCAGAAGTCCGCAGCAGTGCCTGTTCAGCCGTCAGTAAAGCTGCGTGTTGGCACCAACATTTGAACATTTGGGGTCTTGAACTGGTCGTCCATCAGAACTAACTCCTAACAAATTAGAGAATTGCCTCGCCCAAGTATTGATCTCGAGTCATGCAAGGCCTTCATCCTCATGCGGTACTCGGAAAAGAGACCAGTATCTCGCATCTGCACCGAGTTGACTGAGCGGTTCGGCATAACTGCTGGCCGAAGTACATTGTTCACCCAGTTACGCAAATGGGAGATTGCGAAACACCAGGTAAAGACCATGGACTCGGACTCACTACGTGAAGCCCTCGAGGACAAATATTTGGCGCATACTCCAAACGACAGGCAGCTCCATGAGTTCCTTGTCCGCCGTGGCTTCACTGTTTCGCTGTCTGGAGTCACTGTCCTCCGTCGGAAACTCGGGATCTCGCGCTTTTTGGACAATTTCCAGCTTGCGGAATGCAAAGCAAGGATCCTGAACTTTCTTCAGTCCTCGCCATCTTCATCGATGCTTCTCCCACGCCTCGGTTATCGGGCCGCCCTACAGCATGTTCACCAAGTTGGGCACATCAACATCTCTGAGCGCCGCGTAAAGCAGCTCCTAGCAGAAGAATTCCCTTACAAATCCAGTTGCAGCTGCAGCAGGTTCAGATAAGAAGGGCTGGATTCACTCTTCCTGGTCCAAATTACACATGGTCAGTCGATGGGCATTACAAGTTACAAAACTGGGGCTTCGAGATCTATGGAGGGATTGACGCATATTTCACGCTTTGTAAATTGGTCTTATATTGGGGTCTCAGCTTTGACGCAACGGTCTGTCTTTGCTCAGTATCTCTGTGTTGTCAGGGGGTTTGGTGTCATTCCGATGGTTGTACGCTTTGATGGAGGCGGTGAGACTATCATGGTTGCTGGCGCACACTACTGACTTTCCCTTGGGGTTAATCGAGCTCGTCGCCTCCGACCAAGGTGGAATCGAGAAGGGCAGGTGGAGTGGTACATGCTCGGGAACGATGGGCAAAGGGCACACCGTGTCGACCGCGTTGCGAGCTATCTATCGACCTAAACCAACTTAACCTTCGGTATAGCAGCGGTCGTCATTGATGTCGTTGCGATACCAACGACGAGGAGCACTGCTTTTACATTTCGGGAAGCAAAGCCAAGCAGGGCAAAGATAAGGACGTCATCTAGCCGCTTCGAGATAAGCGTCGTAGGGTAAACACTTCGGCCCATATAACTCATAGAACAGCTCCCAAGCGGCAAACACGTCTACGAACAACAACCTAAGGCAAGAAGCGCCGCCAAAATAAACGTAGTATTCCAAGCTGCAATCTTCAGGTGTTTCCACTTTAGAAGAGGAAACAGTCGACGCTGCTTTTGCAAGCTTCGAGGAATGGCCACTTGAGGCGGTCCTTAAGCGCGTTTGGGTGGGTGAGGCGGCGACTTTTCAGTTGGAGTTCATGTGGAACCCTTGTACAAATCATGGGCAAATTGATCATACACCTGAAACCCAGCGGCGCAAGTCACTAGCAGGGAGGGCTTCCTCGAAGGGGCGCGCCGTCCCTTCGAAAATTGCTTCCACGACTAGAAAGGTTCAGGTTTGAGGAGCCCAGTGTTTTCAGATTGAGGATATTCGGGACTAGCGAGAGGGGAGGGAGTACTTGGTCAAGTGGAAAGGGCATAGGCATAGGTACAATACTTAGGAACCTACTGCATATTTCGAGATGTGCTTCGAGGTGCTAGAGCAATTCCACCAGAAAGCAGGATTGCTAACAATATCTTGACTGAGTTTGAGGCTGGATTGTGGAGAGGTGATGTACACTTCAGTATGTTAAATTACTAGCGAACTCACAGCCGATTTTGTATATGTAGAGAGATGTTCGCCTATACATTGCATCCCCCTTTATTAACTATTTGGCTCCTAGTGAGCAGGCAATAGGGTGATTTCAAACGTAGGATCTCCTACCTTGACCTATAGGCATAGGTAGAGCCTAAGCTCAGCTTAGCACTAACACCGCCGATTTTCGTTTTATACATTTCACTTCTATATCTTGAACTAAGGTGACTAGCTAAGAAGCTAACCCCTATAGTCCTTTGTCGGCATTCATTAGAATTGCATCTATAAGGAAAGGTATAAGTGCTAGCGCGTGCCTATTAACGTCGGGCTCTGTCGCTTAGCATCTAGCTAATAAACGCTCGCTAGCTTTAGGCGTCTTTATCCTAAACTAACTAGGTTTATAAGAGCCCTTGATCCTATAATAGGCATATTATAACGACTAGATACAATTGAATAGAGTCAAACCGGCTATTGTTATCATTCTATTTCGTGAATCTAACGTTGAGGAAAGGAAAGAGAAGTTCTGAGTCGGTGGCTCAGAACATTATATGAAGATATTCCTGATTTGTGGGTCATATGACCGGTGCTCCATAACAGCCGTCAATTAGGGAGGTTGTAGGTTCGACCCCCGCCTGGCGCGACACCTATACCGACCGTGACAGTACTCTAGAGAGGAGACGAGAGCTTAGGGAACTAAGCCAATTAGCATAAAGGAATGGAAGCTCTCGATAGAGTTAACAGAGTACTAGCTCTAGGGAGCTCTATAGAGTATATGAGAGCACCTAGAAGTAGATAGTATATAAGATAGCTAATCATTCGTTCTAGTGGACTTAGGAAGTTCACTAGTGAGCAATATAGTTTAAGTAATAGCTTCTACCTATTATATAAACATTGCACATAGTATTGTTATAAACCCTTTGGCTTTACCAAACCTCTCCCTATTATTAAGATACCTTTAGTTGTCTCTTTTAGAGGATTAGGGCAAGAGATTCGTTATTTTAGTAGATGGGAGGCTAAAGGGTAATAAGATATATTCCCTACCGTCTATCTATAGTATTACCTACTCTACTACTCTTATGCCATTTCCCCTCCTAGATATAGTAAGCCTAGTAATTGCTCGGGCGATATAGTTAGACGCCTTAGTCGTGGTCTCAAGCGTAGTAAAATGTAGAGTAGGCTGCAGCGAAATCCAAGCCCCAGCGAAATCCAAGCCCCAGCGAAATCCAAGCCGCAGCGAAATTCAAGCCTCAGCGAAATTCAAGCCGCAGCGAAATCCAAGCCCCAACAAAACTCAAGCCTCAGTGAAATCCAAGCCTCTGTGACACCCAGGCCCTAGCGAAGTCTAAAAATAAGCAGCTACAAAAAGCCAGACCTCTATAAACGCCCACGACAATACCGCCGCCACTGAAACACGTGCTCGAGATCTTAATGCTCTCTAAGCCATCCATCGTCCTTCCGCCGCGCGATATTCCAAATATCGTGCATGTTTGCTGAACGATTCGATCTGATCGCCCATTCGGCTTCCTTGGCGAGACGCGTATAGAAGCAGACGAACCGGGTAGGATGCCCCTATAGAATTTAGGTCGCCACTAGCGCCAAAGTTCAGTTGACCGTCCGCTTGGTGTCTCGGCTATAGTATAGTTAGTATAGGGAGGTAAGGTACTATAGTATATAGGAGACTATATATATTACCGTCTTAGCTTCAGCTAAGTAGGTAAGGAGGAAGAGCGGCGATAGGCCTATAAGCGTCCTTATATACTTGCTAGTACGCCTATATTCTATTAACGCATCTCTCGATGCTCGTATATTCGAGCATCTCTACTGGGCGTTCTCGTATATGTCTATAATAGCATTAATATCGCAATTGCCGTGCTCTTTATAAGATTCTCCGTTCTATCTCTCAGACTTGACCGCAAGCTTAAGGTGATCGAATAGAGTTATTAGCTATATATAAGCAAGCTATTATAATATATATATGCTTTGCTTTTCTGAGATTATATTGTCTATAGCTCTAAATATGGCGATAACTCGGGTATCTAAACTAATAATATAAGATGGTAACGTTGTCTTCCGGAGCAATGATATCCAGTCTCCCCAGATCTTCTTATAGTTGCTAGCAAAACACTCGATTATATCGTATTTAACAAGCCTGCTGGACAGGGATTCCAATTGTATAGCCCTCTTGCCCTTCTTACCAAGGCCTTAAAATAAAACCCTAGTCGGTTAGCTTTTCGAATGCTAGATATAACTCTGTCGCTAAGACCTAGAGAGTCTAGTTCAGGCTAGGGGAAAGGGTCTTCCGCCTTTCTAGTTGTTAATAGAGTTCTACCCTATCTATGGATACGATCGGCCTCATGTTGCCCGTAGAACATATATATAAATGGTAGGGTTCGCAATGCTTATAAGTTGGGCAACCTTTGGTATCTTGGTGGCTGATAGACTCGGAGTGACAACCGAATGCGTTCTTCCTAGA